ATATACCACTATTAGGTGTACTAGATATATATACATATATGACACATTCTATGCGTCATGACTTATTTTCAAAATAAAAAATATTACATTTTTTTTTTATAAAAATGTTTAATACGGAAAAGAATATTATTTTATTATTCTCTTTAGGGAAAAAAAATTTTTTCATTATATTTTCTGATATAGAATCAATTTTATTCTCAGATCACTTTTTCAAAAGCTTTAATTTCCGTTATAGGGAATGTTTCGTACATTTGTTTCAATTTAATTATTGATTCTGACAGATTTATGGTTAAAGACTGGGTCCAGCGGAAATTTATCCCGGTAGAGGGAAAATTTAGAAAAAAACCTTTCAAAGTGATATTTCAGTATAAAGTTAGAGAAACGAATAGAACAAAATCTATAATGTCCATACAGAGACTATAAAATTTAGAAACATATATTAACACGAATTATAAATAATATATATATATATTCTTCTTTCGCGATTCATTTCGATTCACTCTGTTTCCGCTTATGCAAAACGCCGGAAGTCACTGACCGGAAGTGGATCATGAAAAATATGGGGTCGATTGAACCTTCATAATAAAACCCGTCCGAGCTATATACCTATAGAAGAATCGCTCACGCATTTGCATGCATATAGAGAAAACGTCTATACTGATTACATTTTTAATGATTTCCAATTTTTTGATGTTTTACCAATTTTTAAACATATAGATATTATTACTAAGAGTGTAAAAATCAATATGTTAATTATTGATTTTTAAATTTATATTTCTAATAATTGTAAGATTGCTTCAATATGGAGACTTTTTTTTTTGTTCTAATTGACAAAAGAAAAATTTATCTTACCAAAAAATATTAGTCCTTTTAATAATTGTTTTTATATTATTATTTTCTCTTAATATTTTTTCAAAATTATTTTCTTTATAAATAATATTCCTAATTATTAAATGCAATTTTTTGATTAATAAATTCAAAGAATAATTAATTTATAAACATGTAAACTGCATATATATTTTCTCAAATAGAAGCGTAGAAGACTCGAGCAAGATTTCTAAATATAAGCATAAATGTACCCTCCATGTGCTGCATAAACACTAGTGCTACATAAATTTTCGGTCTTTCAGAACAAGAATAAAGTCCACAAAAAAAAGGGGTAAAACATTTAAAAAAAATTAAGGAGATTTTTTAAGATTAAAGACATATATTTCGTACACTGAAAAAGTATTTGACTCAAAATTAAAATATCTTAACGCCTCTCGCACATTGAGAATAATCTTAATTAAATTTTAATCATATAATATCTGGGTGTAAAATTTTTGAACAGACTAATACTTTAATTTGTCTAATTAGTTACGTAACTAAATTACCGTGAATTTTTTACCGCATGGATATAATTATTTACATAATTAAATGATGAAATTAAATAAGTGAAAGAACCAAAATGGTCGAAAATATATTAGTACTAATAATTATAATAATAATTAATACTAATAATTACGAAATTATTATTTTTAATTCCCTGAAAAAATTATTCAAATTATTGCTTAATTGACTATTAACAAATAAATATTTGAATAAAAAATTTTTATTTCAACCAATAATTTTTTTTTATTTAAAAAACATACGATTAAATTAACTCAAATAATTATATTTGTTACAAATAAATTTTAATTCAGTATTATTATTATTATTATTATTTTGAGTGTTTTTAATTTGTTCCAATTATAATTGAAATTGTTATATATAATTTAATTTTCAATTAATTAAAATTCATTATTCCTCTTAAATTTCTTTTAATCCGGTTTTTTTTTCTCTCCAACTTTAATGGTATTCTTTTAACTCAGTTTTTTTTTCATTATATTTCGTAAAGTTTTCTTCATAGAAATATATTTTTAAAAAATCTCATATCAATTATAATATACTGTATACATTATAAAGAATTCTATAGAATTTAGAAAAAATTTCATTTATAAATAATGAAAAAAAATTATTTCATGATTCTTATATTCAGACATGTCTTTTTATTCCTCTTTATATTCCCTTTTGTTTTCTAAAAGGCGTTTTAAAAAGCCTGTCTTATAACTGCTGAAGAGGAATAACCGGAAAAAGTGTGTGCGCGGGTTTAATATACCGTTCTATTTCCAGTATATAGACAACAGTATGACCATGCCTACACATATATTAGTGCAAAACTGGTGACAAACAATTTTCAAAATATTTTTCTCAATAAATATATATACTTTATTTGTATAAATTAAAGAAAAATTTCGTTTAAAAAAGAAAAAACTTCGAAAAATTCTCAATTAACTATATGGGTTTTTTTATTTTTATTTATTCGAATTATTTTCTGATAGATTTTCCATTAAACCGATTTTTCATATTTAAGAATTTTCACTTAACAGAAAATTCATTTAAAATTTCATTTTATTTGGCGCGAATTTAAAAATTAACTATAATCAAAAATTTTTGTGTAATTTCTGTTTTAATTTTTAAATTTAAAAATTCGCGCCCAAAACTTTTGGACGGAAGTTGATTCGAACAAAATATGAAAATTCTATTAAATAGAAATTCTTTAATAGAGAAAATATCAAATTTAATGGAAATTCGGTCAAAAAATAATTCGAATAAATAAAAATTCGGCTTAAAGAATCAGGGGCGAGTATATTTAAAGGGGCCTCTAAGGGGCGACACATCACATTTATAAAAATGTGAAATCATCCAGTGTTATTTATTTCTCTGATATAAATCTAAAAATTTTTTTTTTTTGGTAGCACCCGTGACCCTCCCATATTGGTAATATTCTTCAGTTGATTTGAAAGTGGAACGCTAACAAGTGTAAAATTGGATTTATAATGGTGTTTGTGGAATTTTTCCCTATAACATTTATATATATATAGGAGTTTCGTAATTCCCTCCACAATATATACTCTTCTTGCGTTTATGTACCAGGCTTCATTAATTAAACTCTCACGTACACTTACAGCCTCGCTGTCTGACGAACGAACTGATGAAAGAAACTTTTCAGTATCATATCTCTTTCACATGACAAACACCAATGTGTCACATGTGCAGCTCACTGTATTTGAAAGAACGGGAACGTGATCTTATGCACCACTTAACTGAACTGGCATTCACTAAAATAAATTGCTTCGTAGAAATGGTTTTTGTTTAAATTTTATATACATTGAACAAAATTATTTTCACACACAAGTCTAAAAAAACTTGATTATTATCTGACAATTGCGTTAGCGTATGGCTTCACTTCATTCTTCTCACAATATTTGACTTTTATCTACTTAAAGGTATATAGGTATTTTTTGTTATTTCTCATATATATATGCAGAAAAATTTGTTGTGGAATTTAAAAAAAAATTATTTTCGAATTAGCATTTGAAAGAATTTCCTCATTTATTTAACAAAATTTTTAAGTACCGAATTTTTATTTGGCCAACTATTTATACCCAACTTTTATTCGAAAAAAATTTAATGTAACCGAATATTAAATTAGAGCCAAATTTTCATTCAACAGAATTTGAAGTGATTCGAATTTTTAAATGACAGAATTTCCAATTCACCGAATTGTAATTTGTCCAAATTTTTATTTACACGAATTGTTATTTGATAGAATTTTTAAAATCCCGCGAATTTTCTTTTGTTTCAAAATTTCAAATAGTCGACAAACAATCGATAGAAAGATTTTGGAGCGATTTTAACCAAATTGAAATAAAAATTGACCAATTAGAAATTATCAAGAAAATTGTGATTTGTTTCAAATAGAGAAATTATTATTGATTCAAAAATTATTATTTAATATAAATTTAATTTATTTAATTGAAATAAAAATTGTTTGGTTCAAATCAATATTTATTTTCCAATATAGTCAAGTAACGGATTATTTGAATTAAATATAATTTATTAAATTGTACAAAAAAATAAATAAAAAATTTTTTCTGAATGATAACTGAAGTATATAAACAGTGCGTATAACTTAAATGAGCACAAACTGTAAATAGGTACATAATGATTGCATTCGCAACACGTGCCATGACCCTTTGAGTAAAAACAGTGATTACAGTACAGTAACCCTAAAGTACATCCTTGGAATATTTCATATTCCTTTTTTGTTGCTTTAACCCTTTTTTTAAATATACTTTTATGTCTCCATCATACGCATGAATAAATAATACCCTGACTAATTTCACAGGAAAAGGAAGTGTTCAGAAAATGAGGCCTATAAGTTAAGTTATGTGCATGAATGATGACGAGAGAGAGAGGGATTGGGATTAAGCGAATAATGCTAATAAAGCCGGAACATTGTTGTGATTTAATGATTCCATAGTTTGAGATGGGTTGTTAAATTTTATTATAAAGTTTAACGACATTTGTATATAAATTATATTCAGTTTACATTGTTTCAAATTTTTCATTTGTTTTTTTTTTTTTATTCTCAAAAAACAATTTATCAATTTATAAAAAATTTTAATTAAATAAAATTAGTAAATTAAAAGCAACATTTGTTTTTATTTGAAAAAGTATATAGTTTCGGGGATGTGAGAATAAAATCCAATTTTTAGCAGAGTCATGAAATTTATTTTTGCAAATTCGTCGTCAGTAAACGAAAAGATCGTTTTAGCATTGCTGTAGGCAGATTATTTTTGCATATACAGCTATTAGGGGGTACACAGAAAGGAAGTGATAAGCTCTATAAATATACATTATCACCGTCGGCTACGAATGTCCAAATTTTTTTTTTTTTAATATCAATCTTATATAAATAGATAAAAAAAATCATATTTGCCTAAAAGAAGATCAAATTTGCATATTTACATTAATCTATCATGATGTAATTTACAATATATATTAATCTGGAGCTTTTCAATGAAATATATGTATGTGTATGTGAAAACTAGAAAAGCTCATTTATAAAAAGACACACTGACACCGACGATTAGACGTTTCATCATATTTTTTTTCGGTTCCTTTGCTGTATGGACTTTTGTTTTTTTTTTTTTTTTTGTCCCCATTATCATTTTATCATTCTAGTTTATACTTATATACTATATATATCGGTATGCATTTATACATAAATAGGTTATCTATATCGATTGATCAAAGCGTATGATAAAATATCGAATAATAATAAACACAACAAGGGCAAGTATGTATAGTGTACCATAGAATTTTGAATGACGGTCAATATAAAAACAACAACCATATTTATTAGGCATTATTTCTAATAAGTCAAATAGGTTGTGTGCCATACAAAACAGAAAACCAGTGTTTGCCTTTTTAGCAACACAAAAGATTGCCAAAATCTTGCACTTATTTATTAATGATTTTAAAAATAGCGCCGAAATTTTTCTATTTTGTTCGGCCATTTCGAATTTCATTTTAAGAATTCTATCAAATAACAATAAAAAAAAATTCCTACTGAAGATTCGATGAATACGAGAAATTTATTTAAAATTAAATCTGTTATCCAATTTTAAAATGCAAAATTTGTGGCAATCATTATTAGTAATAATCATTGTCAATGCAATTCACAGCAACCTTTTCTTAATTTTCTTTCAAATCGTAGAAAATAATCCGTTAATCAAATTAAATTTTTATTTATTTTCATAATCTCTTATACATAATATGTAAATGAAAATAATTTTAATATAATAATTTTTACAAAATCATTAGTATTATACAATGATACATTTAAGTATCATAAATAATTAACTATTCAAACTGAAAATTGTTATTAACAATCTACGTTTGAAAGGACTTTCATTTTTCTTTTATTTAAACATTAGGAAAACGGTATTTATTTTATACAATAGAACAACAATAACAAATTTTCGATACCCAACTTCCACCCGAGGCGAAATTTAAGCCCTAATTTACAAGGAGTAAAGTAGGGTTAAACAGACCCTCTTTAGCTTCCTCAACTAGTCGCAAATTTCCCTTTCTTCCACGTTTGGATTCAAAGTAGGGTATAAAAATTGATTAAAATATTGAAAATTTTGAAATTGCTCTAATTCTATTAATTTTTTGAAAACGCTTCAAAATATGTTAATTCCAGTTTTTAAAGGGTAATTAAAGAAATATTGTGTGAAGAAAAAATTCATTTTGCTTTAATCAAAATAATTAAAAGAGTTTTTTTTTTGCATTTTTTTGTACTTTTTTAATCGAACTAGACCCTCTTTAGCTTCCTCAACCAGTCGCAAATTTACCTTTCTTCCACGTTTGGATTCAAAGGAGGGCCTACGGGAGTCTACAAGATCGTAAAGAGGGCCTATTTAGGTTCTAAGGGAAGCTAAAGAGGATTCAAATTTCGCCTCGGGCAGTTTTCTGATTTATAATGGCAGAGCACCTGTTAAATTACAGTAAACGCACTTTCGCGTCTTCAGACTTTATATATTTACAGAAATTCCACGTTACACCTTTCATCAACTTATATATTTAATTCTAATTTTATTATTATTATTATTATTATTATTCTTAAATCGACTAGCATTGTCACTCATTACAGTCATTTTTTAAAAAATCATTCACAAAAAAAATATACATATTGCATTTTTGTTTTTCATTGAATTTAAAGCTCGCTGGGAAAATTTATATTCAATTAAATTTATTAATCAATTTTTTTTTCAAAAATTGGCAGTATTGCAGCTTTATTGCTGGTAAAGAAGTATGTGTAATAATTTTTTTTTTAATGTTTAGTATTTTTTTTATTTACTGCAATTTGTAAAAAAAAAATACTAACATGTTTTATTTATGAAATATTTATGGCAGTGATTTCTTAAAGACAAAAGGATTAAAAATTCTTAGTAAAGAAACAATTTAAAAATATCTTAATTAAAAAACTAACTGAAAGAAGAATGTTTGTCTCTTATAATTATTTTTGGTCCACTTGTAAAAATTAAAAACAATAAAAAAATAATTTGGAATATAAAAGAAATTAAAAATTGTCCCAATAATATAATTGATTTAAAGAAACTATTTGAGATCGATTGATAAAAAAATATTTTGTTTGTGCTTGTATTGGATATATTCAAAAAAGCAGGAGGGGCTTTATAACATTTAAAAGAGGTAAAAAATCAAAGTATTAATTATTTTCCCTTTCGCTTATGAAATCAAACTGACATTATCAGAACACTGGCCTTAACTCTCTTCGAGTCTGGAATAGTGCCAGACTCTCTTCTGTATATATACAACCTGTATACAAACGACATTGGAGCTATAATTGAATTTATTCCTTCTTAAAGTTAAGAAACATTCATATATATATATAGAGAGATAAGATCTCAAGACGCCTTTTTTAAACTTAAAGTTGACCTTATGTTAAATTACTACTCTCTCTTTCTCTCTCTTTGCAAATACCAAAAGACTCGTGTCTCTATTAATAAACAGGATATCACACATATGAAAATATTTCCAAGCGAGCTTTATCATTGCAACCAAATTACAAAATTATAAACATTTTATACTTGAGATAAAGAAACTTGATATGTTTTTCCCATTTATAATAAATTTTCCGAAATAAATCAGATATGCCCAATTCATAGGTTTTTAACATTTTCCAATTAGATATTTTCAAACACAAATTCTTTCACAATAAAAAAAATAACCAGAAAACTTGTCAAACATAAATTATACCTATATACAATCAGAAATTTTGTAATTTTCTCGAGAAATTTTTATCAATATACACCAAAAAATTGCTGGAAAAATAAAACACTATAGAATATTTGAAAAAATTTCAAAAGCACACAAAATTTATAATAATAAGCGTATTATTAAAAAAAAATTTTTCATGCAAATTAACACAAGTGTATTTTTTTGGAAAAAAATTATGTGACAACGATTCATGGTTTGAATCTCTGGAGGTATAAAGGTGTAAAAGTGGATAGGCACAAGTACACAATATTGTTTTTTTTTTTCTTAAAAGGGAGTGATTTTCAAAATTTTGTGAAATATTGCACCATTGTTGGAAAAACCTTTTTAACATAACTTTCCCAAATTTTCTATAAATAGGCCCTGTTTCAAAAGTTTCTAATCACTCACAGCTCGTTTTTTTAATTTCCACACTTGCAATTAATTTGTCGTTTTCGTGACTGTATATCAAATAGTTTGAAAAATCAACATCGTCTCTAACACATTATTATGTAACGCTCGTTAGTTATTAAAAATTACATCTAATTCGACGATAATTATTTTATATTTGAGCGTTGGGACCAGATTATAAAATTTCTGAAGATTTTGTCATCTGAAGAAAAACATTTCCATCAGTTCAAAGAGACTCTTTGTTTAAAAGAGAAACAGAACTTGAAGATGATCTCTCTCTCATCAATTGTCACAAAAAAAATGTGTCTAAAATTTGCCTTCAAGTCGTGTAATTACACGAACTGCAAGTTTATAGCAAAATGAGAGAGAGTCAAAGAGAGTGAATGATATATATCACAACAGATGGAGCAAAATATTCTCGGAAAAGACGATCGTCTTGACGACATCAGTCGAGAAAATCTCTATATAGGATTTTTATGTACTGTCTTCATCTGAACTGGAAGACAAGATGAGAGATGGGGTGTGCTTCGTGAGAGGCGAGACATTTTGTGAGCAATATCAGAAGACGCAAGTGCAGTCCTCTGAACTCCGGCCCTACCTGGCTCGTTTTCGATTCAACTTGGCAAGCTTCCGTCGCTTCAGAATCAACTGGTAGAGTGTATCAAGTCCTTCATGAAGACCCTCGCCTGTGATTGCACACGCTGGCTGGACTCTTATGCACGAACTCCCTGGAGTTCCTGCCAACTCTAAAACTCCGAGATGCTTCTCTAACTCGCCCACTTCCTTGGCGCCTGTGAACAATACAAATAAACCAAAAATTTATATTCAGTTATTCTTAGGAAAGTTGTTACATATAGTGCTATACTCAAAAGTTTTTATTTAATATGTCATCTAAAGTGACCAAAAAAAGACTGTTATCTAGAAGAATCCCAATATCACTTTTTTATTAGAATACTTATTGTTATGGTTTGTCATCCATTCTGTCATCGAAGTATATTTATACTTAATGGAGATGACTAAAAATTTCATACACCTTTGTGAAAAGTTAATGTAACCTACAAGAATATCCAAGTTTTCTTTTAGAAACTTTATTCAAGTTTTTCGATATTTCATAAAATCTAGAAACTCCATGGAACCTTCTAGAAACTTAATGTTCAAATCTGTAGAAATTTTACAAAATAAAATTAGGAAAATAAAAATATATTAAATTACCGACATAGAAATCTACCTTACCGACTGATGGTAAAGCAGTTTTTCGAAAAATAAAAATAAATTAAATTGCCGACATAGGAATCTACCTTACCGACTGATGGTAAAGCAGTTTTTCGAAAAATAAAAATATATTAAATTACCGACATAGGAATTTACCTTGCCTACTGCTGGTAAAACAGTTTTTTAAAAATGAAAATATATAAATTACCGACATAGGAATCTACCTTACCGACGGATGGTAAAAAATTTGAGATGATTTTTAAAGGGATTTTGTGTTACCATCAGTCGGTAAGGTAGATTTCTATGTCGGTAAATTTTTATATTTTTATTTTCCTAAGAACTGTTTTACCATCAGTCGGTATGGTAGATTTCTATGTCGGTAAATTTTTATATATTTTATTTTTGAACATTTTTTTACCATCTTGTTAATTTTTTAATCATCTACATATTATATAAATGAACAAGTAATAATTATTTAAGACAATTATTTAAACAAATAGTACCTGCCGTAATTTGAACCTTGTTGAAAACTATTATATATTTATAATAATTAAATTAAATAATATAAAACGAATAATGTATTCAGAAGAATAAACTTTCAAAGTCTCGGTACTAATAATATAATTAAAAAGTTTTAAACTTTATAAGTATAATGTAAATCACACGCCACTCAAAAGTTTCATGAATATTTTTCTGATTACAATGTTGAACAAACTGTTTGTGCGATGTCAAAAAAAAGTCGCGTACCATTATGCTTATATAGTTTTAATTAATTTTAACATGCAAGTTTGTCAATATATACATTTTAATTAAAATTCAACTTTTTCACTCACCAGGTAGATCCTGCTTGTTAGCAAGAATTAGAATTGGAACACCAGCATTGTCAGGACTTCTCGCCGTTCTGGTAAGTTCCATTTTAGCCTCTTCTAATCTTTCAACGTCACAAGAGTCGACTACAAAAATTATACCATCCGTACATCTTGTGTATGATTTCCATAGTGGACGTAATTTTTCTTGACCGCCAACGTCCCACACCAAAAAACCAACTCCTGAAACAAACAAAAAATAAACATTTTTTTTAATACTTTTAAACAAAAGAGGAATCAATTTTTAAATTTCCCTAACTTGTGCGGCTGCCCCTCGATTAGTAAAAAAAAAATAAACCCACTCACAGTATAATTATAGTGATTATAATATTCTATATTAAATACTTTAAAATTATTTTATATTTTAAAACATAAAATAATTATAGGTTTCAATATTATAATATACACATATATGTCAGATTTAATTAGACTGCTTTATATAAAAAGATCGTAAAAATTCACTTTTATAGGAAAAAAAAAGAGTAAACTTAAATAGTGTAGTAAAAACAGTATTAAATAAAATTTTTAACACCATTCTTAATGATTTACTTAGAACTAGAAGTCATTTATTGTAACCATTATCGTCCGAAAGAACATTAATGAAGCTTTGAAGATTATTACATGTAACATTTTTCTCCTTCATGAAGTTTTTGCTATATATATATATAAGACATATGATATGAACGAGGGTACGGAATATTATACTGAGAGAGATAGTTTTCATGTAGCAATTCGCTTCAGGCTAAAATTTACGTTCCAATTGGAGGTAGAGCAGATAAAATGCAAAAGTGAAAATTATCCACAGCAACAAAAACTCATCCTATAGTTTCTCTCGTATTCTATATATGATTAGATTTTTATTAAAAACTATTCTATTAAAAATTTCTTTTAAAATTTTTATTTGTCAGAAGGTTTGCGGTAAAGGGTCATATAAGTATTACATTAGCATACTTTAGTGTTTACGTAAGCAGATTATTTAAAGGTTTTTTTTATTCCTCAGTTCTTACTATTTCATTATGCTCCATTTTTTCTAAAAATTGAATTTATAGCCAAACGAAAAGAAGTTAAAATCCCTCTTATTTAATTTTCATAAATGAAATAAAAATTTATTTACAACAAATAAATATTTATTTGGCTCAGATATAAATATATCATTTCTCTGGGTGTGTATAGAAATTATTGTAACTCCATAAAGGAATAAACATTTAAATTCTAATTAGCATTTTGACTTGACAAATTGAGAGAAATGTTAGACTGCTTTATGGCAACCCTGAAATGTAGAGAGTTTGTTATCATTAAATGCAAACATTCAAACATTAACGCACAACTATTCTTACTTTTCTTGTTTTACACGAGTCATCAGAGAGACGATAAATGAAACATCTTAATAGCACGTGGCAAATGAAGCGTAATATCTTTAGAATGCCTAGCAAGCATTAAAACCATTTTTTTGCTAATTATATTCGCTATTTCAGCTTGTTTTTATTAAATCGAAAAAAAATTGATATTCTTTTTTAAGAAACTACAAAGTACACTAAATACACCATTAATAAAGATTAATTTATTATTTTGTCATTTTTAAAAATTGCAACAAACAAGAAAGATTTGGAAAATTCCGACTTAAACAAAATAGCCTCATTATAAACAAAATATGATAAATGATAAAGTTATATTAATGAGAAAAAGTTGTCAGAAAAAAGTTTCATCGATATATTTCATTCAATAATGACCTCATTCCCACCCCAGATTTGTTCACTTTAGGGTCTGACTTGCACACTTCCTAAGGGGATGAAATTGTTTTTGATAGTTATTTATTGTGTTAAATCCCCCTATAATCTTACACGGAAAGCCATAAGTATCCTTTTTGAAAATCTACTTACACCCTATAAATTTTAAATATATAAAAATATTTTACTTATGCGACAGCAAAACATATTTATGTCACAATTAAATTCACAGAAAAAAGCTGGTGTTATTTTTGTTGCGAGTAATTTTCTCCAATGCTAAAACCCATAAGATTTAACCCAGATTTAGGGTAAAATTTGTTGCGTGTTATTTTAACACCAATTCTGGTGTTAAAATAACACTTCGTTTTTCCTGTGTTTCTGCTAATTCATCCAAAAAATTTTATTTATAAACAATCTTATAAACTTATCAGAAATGATTATTTTATTTAAAAAATCAAATTCAATTTCGTATAAAAACTTAAGATTCTGGTTATTTTTAGTTTGATTTGAAAAAACACTTCTCTGAGATGGGTCTATAAAAAAACGATTTTATGAATAATTTCTCACCTTTTGCCTTGCCAATGCTACCCCGGATCCTCTCGCAATTGAAGCCAATAGTGGGAACAGTATTGAGGTACTGATCGAACTTGAGACGATATAGTGCCGTCGTTTTACCGGCACTATCTAAACCCAACATAGCCACATGAAATAATGTTCCCGTAGGAAAAGCCTCGAGCAGGCCACCGCCGCTCGTGCCAGTTCTACCCAACCCAGCACCCATTCCTTCAACTATACCACCACCCAATTTTCACCCAACTCTATACCCCAACATTTATAAATCAATCTTCCACATTTTTTTTTTTCTTTCTATTTTTCTTTTTTTTCAAACTTTTTCCATCATTTTCACTTTTATTCGCATATTGCTAATTGGTTCACTGTCGCACCACCTGAAACATAAAATATAATACTAATTTAGAAAAATTCAATCTTTCATATTTTTTTTAATGTCATTTTAATGACTCATAGTTTTTCATTTGAAAAATGAAATTCTTTTGTCTTTTATCATCGATACAAATATACCTAGATATTATGCGTCTTATCAATAATATTTTTGTAAGACACGATAAAAGGCGCTTTTAATGTATAAAAAGACCATGAAATTAGAGAAAAAAATTTGGCCCTGGTTTCAAGCCAAATGGCTACTCTCCAGTTCTTTCACAATATTAGTGTGAATTCTATTATATTACGTGTAGTGACTTCATATATTGTTAAAAATAGTTTTTTTTTATTCCTCATTCATAATATAAGGCCACACACTGACCCTGCGTTATTAGTTTTTTTAAAATAAAAATCTGTTCGATTTGTCCGCAGTTAAAAATATTTTTTAGACTTATTTCCAAATACTTATTTTCATAAGGTCAAAAAAATGTTTCAGTAACAAAAAATTTTGTATAAAAATCTGATGTAGAATTCTCCATTAATGTAAAACATTACATTTCTGATAAATATGACAAAAAAGTTTGATTAATAATTTCACACTTGTGTTTACACATTTAACTGATAAGAAAATTTCCTCAATCATTTCTAAGAATATTACCATATTGAATATAAGAGAATTGAATTATATTTTTTGAAGTACATTATATTTTTAACAAAAATTAATATTTTATCCTGGAATGTTCTGAAACAACTTATATTTTATTTTAAAAAAAAAACTATGTCAATTACTACCAGTAATTTTGTTCCTAACTCGATCTGCATGTAATTTATGATCACATGACATTCATAAATTTGTAATTACAAAAATAGTACACAAAAATACTTATTCCTGATTTTAGTATTGAATATATGATTATGCGAAAATAGAACGACTTTCAACTTCATGCACTATGATTTTAAACATAGAACTGATACTTTGACTATATATTTTATTTCATTTTTATAAACGACATGTTATTTCTAGGTCACTACATTTAATTGAGAGTTAAATGAAACATCCTGAAAGAGAAATTTGTCCTTATAAAACTGTAATAATAATTACTTTTATTGAACTATTAGTTAACAAATGCTGAACAATATAATATTGAATTTATATATATATATATATAAACCAGCATCAATTTAACTTTCTATATAAATTTTTATATCACTTACACTGTAATGTTATTGAATATGATATACGCTTGGATTTGTATAGTGAGAATCTATAGCTAATTTACCATCACTGTCAGTTTTGTTGGAGGTGGGATAAAACAGGATTGTATTTTACGAGCATATTAAGAGGTGTATAGCGTGGTCGTACATTTCAGACAAAGCTAAAATTTTAACTCTTTAAAATATCATACAAAACATGAGAAAAAAATAGTAGATAGAAAATATTAAAAACTGCGTAAAATTTTTTAAGAAATTAACAAACAAAAACAAAATTTTAACGTGATTTAATTTTGCGAAAGCCGTGATCTAATTTTACGCGAAAACCGTGATCTAGTTTTACGAATGCGTGATTTAATTTTGTGAATTCCGCGAACTAGTTTCACGGAATTTGTTATCTAATTTCCCGAATTTCGCGAAATCCGAGATCTATTTTGCGAAAACCACGACCTAGTTTCACGGAATCCGTGATCTATTTTCGCGAATTCCGCGAATTAGTTTTACGAATCCGTGATCTAATTTTGCGAATTCCGCGACTTAGTTTCGCGGAATACGTGATCTAATTTTGCAGAATTCGTTACGTAGTTTGAACGATTCCATCAGGGTTACGAAATTTCTGTATTTGTACGAATGTAAATTTTGCTTTCTGTGGTTAGGGGGCGTTTTTGAGAGTTGGGTATTCTCATTATTTTTTTTGAATGTTTGGATTTTTTTCTCCATTTTGAAGGCTCCGGAATAAATTTTTACCTCCTGCGAGAAGGAGTTTGAATCTACTTTCAATTGGTCAAATATAATCTCAATCTTATTTTTAGGTACTTGGTCTAGTCGTTATTGCTTCCATGTTTGATTTCAACTCTTCATTAGAATTAGGAGTGAAAATTTGGCTTTCTGTGCGAGAAGGGATAGTTTGAATTTGTTTCTATTAGACGAATTTAATTAGAATTCATTTATAAACTTAAATAAATTCTTTAAAAAGTGATTCATTTTGTTTTTGCCGCAAAACAACTTTTCTGAATACATATATATATATACACACACATAGCGCGCAGGAACAAGTTGTTTGGAGTGTACAAACTGCAGACATAACTGTTTGCTTTTAGTGGACCACTATAGTAGAGAGAAAGAGAGTCTGGACGAGATGGAAGAGCAGAGATAGAGAGGAAAGGTTGCTCTCGGTGTGCGTCAATGGACAATATAAAGAAGCTCCAAGGAGAGACGAGAGTGTAAGGACCGGTATGCAGCATCTGCCAGAGAGACAGGTAGTCTCAAGAAAGAGTGCTAAGGTGCTAGTGAAACCAAGAAGGATAACAAATGACCCACTGCGTGTGTTTCATTCTTACACACATTTCGTAAGAATGTATATATTCTCTTAAAGTATATATTCACTGAGCATGAGTATATGTGTGGTTGTACATGTTCCCAACACATATACTGCCAGACTGGCACCAGCACCATACCATTAATGGCATGCACACGCCAATTTTTTCCAATTCCATTTTCACTCATTCTCTTTTATACCTGGCAGTGGTCTCAATGGCACATGCCATGGACCTGCAGGCGAGCAGCCAAACGGTTACACCAAATACACGCGCTAATTTTTCTTTCTTTTTTTTTTTCATTTCAAACTGAATTATACACTCGCTGTGTGTTCTTGAATAGGTTGTAACGGTATTTACTCGTAAATGATCACGTCGATCTCTAATCACTGTGTGCAAACACGCGAAAAATGAGTCAGAAGTAATAGAATACCCTACTATAACTGATGGGTGTGCCGATTTACTTTTAGATATATAGGTATATACACATCCAACTTTACAGTTTTATGATTATTGTTTAGCTCATTTATTGCTGAGGATGCAATTTGATTTTCATTATTTTCGCTAACAATTTCTTTTTAGAAGGTTGGAAGAAAAGTCGGATATAACTTGATTCAAAAATAAAATTTGAAATATCTGCGAAGTATTTAGAATTATCTTGAAATATTTTTAAATTATGTATAATTTATTACACAACCGCACTTGATTAGTAATTATATATAATTAAAGGAATTATATTGTCGGAAATGATTCGATATAGTCATCTAATTGTAAAATGATTTAGAAATCAATGACAAATAATTATTGATGTATAAATTATGATAACATCATCAATAATTATTATTTTTCTATTTTGAAAAAATAAATATTGTGAAAGCCTTGAACTATTCTTTAAATTAATAGGTCATTTGGTGGTATATCAAGTACAATCTTATAAAGAATAATAATTTAGAGAAATATAAACTGATTCAATTTATAGTCAATCAATTAATTAAAAAGAATAAAATTGATAGGATCTTTGAACGAATAATGACATTTAGTTAATAAGCAATTTAAACATATATATGAGTATAAGGTTTCTCGGCGCCTACACGGATATAACATCTCTCCAATTTTCGATTTACCTACTTAAGAAGACACCATATTGCCTCATCGATATTTTCTATATACAATAGATTTTTCTAAATTATTCTCATTCATTTAGCTTTCTTTTTTTTTTTTTTTGACGTCAAACTTTCGATTTTTATTTTTTATATAAAGAAAAATATATGTTGTCAATTGTTTTTTTTTTATGAAAATCAATTTTGAGGAATTTATATTTATAAAATATAACAAAGACACATTCCATAATTTAAATTGGAAGCTGTAGAAATGTATTATTTATCAGAAACTAGAATAATATAAAAAGTATTTATTGCAACATTTGGATTACAAAATAACAGTTATGTGCTTCAATTATGTATGTGTCAATGATCGAAGGTTTAGAGGCGTTCAATGACTATAACTTTCCCTTTGTATTGTATATATAAAGCTATGCATTCGCTTCTTTCATGCGAACCAAATAATTATGCCATTCACGCATTTTTATTTATGTATTAATATTAATTATTATTTACGAAGCAGTAATTTCACAGCAGTATGCAATTAAATAAAAATAAATAATTTTTTATTTCTATTGAAGGTTATACATTCACTAATACATAATAATAGGTATTATCAAACATCTATTCCTTAAATAACAATAGGCTTTATTAAATTTTATGTTACTTTTTTCATTTGGGGAATAAATTAAATATGAATATTTTTTTTTTTATTTTGCCGGTACAAGAAATGAGTTCCTTGTTCCGGTTCGTGACTATGGAATTAATTTTAACTTCTATTCCCTTTTTAAAAAAAAAAAATATATTTCAGTTAAAAATTTTTGTTTGATAAAAAGTTAGCTATGAGGTCTAAAGCAAATTAATTCGCTGTACCCATATTAATGAGCAAAGTTTCCTATAAGTTCGCTGCCACATAAAACTTTTTAATAATTAATTTAAAATAATAATTCATTAATTGCGTAATATTAATAAATATTTTATGACTTTTATTTTATTCTTTTAATTCGAATGAAATAAATCCTTATATATTTTTTTTATACTATGGTAAAGAAATAAGTTCCTTGTTCTGGTTTTGTGAACTTAGTACCATATCGTGCTCCAATAATTGTTACGAACAGTGCCCTCCGTTAGTATTGCGTGTTTCAATTGAATTATAAGTAGCAGCCAAGAAGAAATTAATTCCAAGCTTTAAAAAGTCTCTGAGTGTGTTGCTTGATATATATATAGACCTTTTAACTCACGAAAATTTCTTTTAACTTTAATGTCATTTAAAAACATTTTTTAAAACATATAGATTATAAAGCACAGATTTTATTAATCAAAAATATATTTTTCATTTTTTAAATTATTTTTCGTTCATAATTAAAAATACTTAATTATAAAATTAATTTTATTTCTCATTATACCAGCAGCTGTTACCTTAAATGGAATTTAAAATCGAACGATTTAATTTACTACTAATTTCTGATAAAGAAAAAAAATTGCGGAAATATTAATAGAAAAAAATTGCTGTAGAATTTACATTTTTATTTAAAATGCTCACATAATAATAAAAATTAGATTTGCTAATCGATTTCTTAATTTCTGATGCGCTATTTTACTTTTCCTATAGAAATAATTTTAAATTCTCTCTATAATGATTTTTAAAGTAATATAATTACTGACAATGAGTTTCGGAAACAAGGTTGAGAGTATATCACTCTAACAAAACCAATAATCGTTGTAGGATGACAATACTCGATTCACATAATTGCAAGCAATATATACCGCACTTTAGTGAATGAGTCTATTATTTTAAAGTTAGCCTAACTTAAGTAATTGTCCTTTAAATTATACTCTATTATACATTATTGACCTTTATTAAAATAATTAGCATCAAGTGTTTATTTTTTTTTTTTTTAGTTTGCATACAAAATTAATTTTTTTCTTCCTTTTATGACATTATTGTCATTCTTTAATTATCTATAACAGCAAAAAGAACTAATGCCTATTGTTTAGAAAATTCTAAATAACAGGAAATTTGTTCAGTATTCTAATTGTAAAATTGCTGAATATACGCAGCCAGTGACTAAAATAATAACTTAAAATTTATCACAACTGTAGTTGTATTAAAAAAAAATTTTAGATTACAATTTTGTTTAAAACAATTATAAAATCCATAAAAAAATTAAATAAAATCCGTTAATTTTGGTAGAACGAATCATACACCGCCGAACAAGCAGAATCAATTTTTCATCTATATAAAGCGGATTGAATCCGCAACGTTTTTATCTAGTATTATATCATCAATGTTTTTTTCTCAGCCGATAGGGTATTTTATTTTTGTTGGTTTATCAAACAGACGGAAAAAAGGCGTTCATCAAATATAGATAGTCAAAAAAAAAAAAAAAGAGTAATCCCAAAGCTATAAATTATTCAAAATGTTAAAAAAGGAGGATTTATTTCATAAAAATGGTATTTTCGGAAAAACAAACAAAAAATTTTTTTATTCTTGTTTTACTATATTTAACACTAAGTTATATACATAGTTAAGGTAAACAAATATTTTCCTTTTCTAAATGATTTAGTACTGATTTTGTGCTTTCGAATTAGTTATTTTTTAATGATTCTTTATAGAGATTTTTTAGAGGATAGCTACTTCTGTTTCTGGTTTTTCTTGTTGTAAGAGATTTTAATTATTGATTCCAATTCTGCGTAATTCCTTTGTTAGTATTTTAGAAATTCATAGTAAAAAATTACTAAAATTAGAACCGTTGCTAAGACCTAAAAATTTCATAAAAGTTCTGGGTGCAAAAGTTTTATTGAAATCTATTTCTAAGACTTGGAAATAAGTCAACATTTACTGTAATATTGCACAAGAATAGCTATGCCTGTACCCAGTATTGGGATAGGCAAAAGGCAATGTACCAATTAGTCAGTTTTCAGTAAAATCTGATTCCTGTCTAAGTGATTGAATTGAGAGAATGTCAGACAAGGCGTACCTAGCCAATATATATATATAAATTTAATCGAATTTTGCGAGAAAGGTACATATAAGAACGACCTATACCACTATACTATTGCGTGTGCTGACGTTAACAGTTACCAATGTTGATTCGCGTGCAATGTGCTTCTGGTTGGCAACGGCTATTGGTATTTGTGAAGAGAGAGATATCGACTTATAAAGAAGCGCATGCTCCTACATCCTCCAACAATTTTGCGAGCTCACTTCAGAAACGTATTTAAAAAAAAAATCACTAAATAAATTTATATCCTTTATCCCGAGAGGGTATTTTAGAAAATTAATTTAATATGACAATATTTGTGAAAAATTAAAAAAAAAACAAAAAATAAAAACATCTCGCGAATGCGCAATAGTATGTAAATGTGATATGGAAAAGTCAAGGTACTGCAGCAATGCTATCCTCTTGAAATCTTGACTTTATTTGAACCCTGCTAGCAACAGAGAGAGACTTGCCACGTGGTTTCGATTTTGCGATCAGCTGCTACTGAATTCAAAAGGGAAATTTCTATATGCAACAAGAATAAATGATAGAAAAATATGTCTCTAGAATTGTATTATAGATAAAAACAAGAAATTCCTTTATGAACAAAGAGAAAATTCGAAGAGAAATAAAGAAATTCTGGAACCTTATATATTGTTTCTTTTGATGCTAGAAAATATATGCCAATATTGTTTCGCAATTAGAAAATCGGCAAAGAAATATTTACTGTTGTTTTATTTGCACCATTGGAATTATTAAACTAATCAGAAAGATGTTTAAATTTTATGATGCACTGATTTATAGTTAGATGATTCGAGATGAATTAATATTTCTATTTAATCAAAGTAGAATATTTCTACTGATGATCAAGGAATAAGATAATCCATCAAGTAATTAATTACTCCACGGAGGGAAAAATATATTCAAAAATCATTATCATAGTAATTAGAAGTATTATTGATTCAAACAAAAAATACATATAATTATCAAAAAGATTAATGAATAATATATTTCACTGATCAGTGAAAATCTTACTTATTGAAATCAGTTGCTAAATTTTTTCTGTTTCAACATTGAATTTCACTGATCAAAATTTAGTAGAGTAAAATAAAATTTGAAATTCTGTAGTTTTTAAATTCTGTATAGTTGAGATTCGTATTCAGTAACTCAAAACTAAAAATTTAGGAAGCCAAGGATTATGTAAATCCGTTAAAATTTAAAGTTATTTAAGCCCCACGAAACGAGAATTTAGTCAATAGTCTAAAAAAGGGAAAAACATTTTATGGAAAAATTTAACATATATCTTGATCACATTCACGATTTATATCTACACGGAAAAAAAGAAAAAGTAACTTTTACTACTTTAAAAGTAAAATTGGACCTGTCCGAAGTTTCTGCGCATCTCTGGCAACTTTTACTCCAAAAATAGTAAAATTTACTTCAGAAATAGTAAAAATTACTACGGAAACAGTAAAATTTACTACAGAAATAGTCAATTTTACTATTTTTCGAGTAAAAGTTGCCAGAGATGCGCAGAAACTTCAGACAGGTCCAATTTTACTTTTAAAGTAGTAAAAGTTACTTTATTCGTTTTTCCATTTTTCTCCGTGTAGAAAATTATCTAAATTTCACTTTAATAGGAATTTGAATTAACTTTCATTTTCAAAAAGATACGTGCCACGAAACTAAGAATTTGGATTAAATAATAGGATATAAAATAATTTACAGTTTTTTTATACCTACTAAATAATAATTAATTTGACATTTTAGAGTTGAAATTGAATTGGTAATTTTTTAAAGTCTCCGAAATGATAATATAATTATAATTCTATTTCTGATCTCACGTATATCTGAAACTGTATTTAATCAATATAATAAATGTATATTTGAAAACACGTTTATTTTCAAATTAATTTATTTTATACTTTTTTGGAAAAATTGTCAATTTTTAAAATTATTGCTATACATTTACTATATAAAGGGTTCCTTTTTTTCTTTGCAAGAATGAATATATATACAGTACCTATGAAATAATATAATACATATTTCCATTTATAGATTACATGAAAATATATGGATATAAACATGTATATGTGTTTCACTTTGTTCCGCTCGTGGGCGCCTGTTCTTTTTTCTAATTGTAAAGTCCATTGAAAATTTATAGGCACGTGTTGAAGACAATTTTACATATAAGGTTTAATGATTTAATGTTTAACAATATGTAAATTAATATGTAATTCTGATATAAAAACACTTTAAGGTTTATGATTTTATGAGAAATTTATCCATTTTCGGAGCACCCTTAATGAAATTGCACGAAGAAAAATAGTTAGCTATATTAGCTAAAAATTAGTTACTAACCCCAATTGATATTATATGGATAGCAATTATTGTTAGCTAATACAGCTAATAATTAGCTTCCATAGTAACATTTTTCTCCATGATGGAATGAAAATTTTGAATGAAATTTTTAGTGCGTATAAAGTTTGAGAAAATTAACTTTTCAAAAAAGCCGAATTTGTGAAAGGAACATAGTATTTTTAATTAAAGGTAATGAAATTCGGATAATGTTGAGTGAGTGAATAATGGAAGCTTTTTGAACTCAAATCAATTTTAAAGTCAAACAAAAGTATTTGCTATTTCCAACAGTATTTGAAAATAGCGGATCTGAAAAATTTGCAAAGCTTTAAAGTTTCCTTGTACTTTTATGTTATCAGTCTTGTGTTTTATATATGTAATTCGGGCAAATGGTCAAGTACAACAAATCGAAAATGAGCTTAGAGCTTGACACTGACACGTTGTTGATTATGTAACGAAGGGGTTAAGAGAAAAAGCAATGTAAACATTTGTATAGTTTATCTGTCTCTCCTACATTGATCAAAAAAAGTGGAAATTGTCAAATGACAAATGTAAATTTCATAATTTAAAAAAAAAAAAAAATACGTAAAACATGTCCAAATGAAAATAGACTGTCCCTCATATTGTCATGGAAACGCGATAAACGAATTCACTATACAAAATATATATGTATTACGATGATCCAAAATATTTTGGGGAAAAAAATTTTTACTCATGAAAAATATTTTCTTAAATATGTGTAATATGTATGCAAATTATTTTTGATCCTTACCATTTTGGCGCCGAATATATATCCAAAAAAGGGAAAGGCACACACAGAATTCTAAGGATCAAAATCACACACTTAACACACTTGGTTGTTATATGAACCGGTACATAATAAGCACTTGTTTTCACTTTATTGTAGCACTTAAAATTTGCATTAATTGATTTATAATCACCATTTTCTTGACACTTTTAATCGCGCATGCAATATTTACATTAAGTACTAGGCCTAAGCATACGGAAAATGCATAATACTTCTCTGAAAGTACCTCATACCCAACGATGTTGGCATTACACTGAATCTGAAGCTCCTGCCAATGCCTCTTTCCTACATTCTCTTCGATGAAAATGTTCATTCTGTTTCTGTAAATTCACACTTTAGGCGCCACCTCTCGGACTTACCGACTTTTTACCTTCTTTCCTCACAGAAAAGAAATTTTTCGAAAAATTGTTTTAAATTTATTTTACAGAAATAAATTTTCAAAAAATTTTAACAAAAAAGAATACCATTTTGACTTATCTGAAGTATCTTAAAGTACCGTGAATTATTTGAAGTGTTGTGAAGTATCCTGAAGTATCTTAAAGTTCTGTGAATTATCTAAAGTATCTTAAATTATCCGAAGTTTCGTAAAATATATCCTAAAGTACCTCAAAGTACTTTGAAGTAGATGAAGTTATTCTAAATCATCTGAAGTATTAGCATCCTAAAGTACTTTCAAGTACTGTGAATTATTTTCAAATATTTTTTAGTATTCTAAATTATCTAAAGTACCTTAAAGTATTGTGAATTTTTCTGAAATAACTTGAAATATCTTGAAGTATTGTGAATTATCTGAAGTAATTTAAAGTATCCTGAATTATCTAAAGTACTTAGAAGTACTTTGAATTATCTCGAAATATTTTAAAGTACCCCCAATTTTTGATTTCTTTACCCCTCGGTTGGTACATAAAATATTTCCCCTGCATAAGATCTTTTTTTTACGCTCGAATGTATACTGAATAGTATTATTTTAATCTTTTGTAAATATTTAAATTTTTAAAACAATTTTTTAATTAAAATTTTATAATAATTATTACATCTACAATAATTCCTACATTTTAAAAAATGTATTATTTTAAGTTGATGGAATTAAAGAAATTTGCATTAAAAGAAAATACACAGCAATGATGAAAAAAAATGTAATAAATTGGCTTAAATGCATAATTTTAGAGAAATTAACTCTAAATATGGAAGTGGTACAGAGTTAGAATTTCCGACAATAATTAAGAGGCCTCAAGATGAATTTATTAGCAGCGTAATTATCTTATCTCATCTCCCATAATTCCTTGATTAAATATTCAACTCACTGACAAAATTAAAAAAAAAATAGATTGTAATTAAAAAAACTGACTATTAAATTAATTTAACTCTCAAATTTGAATAATTAAAATTTTCCTATAGTAGAAATAAAAAAATTATTAAAAAAATTTAAAGTTCCATGAGAAAAAATATAGAAGTTAAAGTACGTAAAAATTTTTTAAATTTTATATTAAAAATGTAAAAGTTATATGATCTAAGCCTTCACTTTTTATAGACATACTAACACAGAAGAAGAAAGTACCATATCGAAAGGTAATTTCATGAGAGTCACTTTCACACATTTCCGCTCATTGTTTTCGACATGAAGAGCAAATAGCTAGGTGAAAATATATGCGAATGCGGTACATCTAGATATAAATAACAATTAAATTTTAGCGATTTAGACTTTTTTTATAGTTATGAGATTTAAAAGAGTTATTTCCTTTCTTTTTTTATTAACATTCCTTTTATAATAAAAATAAATTATAGAATTCTACACTGGGGAAAAAAATTTACTTGATTCAAATAATCGTTGACTATTATCAAATAAATATTTACTTGAACCAAATAAATTTTATTTTAATTAAATAAACTATATGCAGTTTAGAGAATAAAAATTTTTATTATATATTTTTTCTCGTGGATACATATTTTATTATTCCGCAAGCCAAATATCAGATGTACAATCCCCACCTGGATACCTGTAAAAATTAACAATTAACAAAATTTATTTTTTTACAATATAAAATTATTGAATTATTACTTATTACGAATATTAATTATTATTATCTATCTAGTACAAAATTACATGTTTAATTAATTAATTAAATACCTGGTTTCATGAGCCAGTAAAATGTCATCTTTATCAGCTCCAAAATCAACTAAAAAGTTTTTGTCAAGCTTCATGCCTCCATTCTCCACATCCACGTCCAATTTCAACATTGTTGAACCATGCCTGAGAAATAGATAAAATTTAATTAATTTTATTTTTATTCATTAAATATTAAATTTAATATAAATAATTTAAAAAATTATAATTTTATATGAAATATTAACTTGACATGTTCAGGATAAAATTGTTTGTCCCATGGTTTGTAAAGGGCCGTTGTAACGTAAAGTCGACGACCATCCAAACTCAATTGTAACATTTGTGGTGAACCATAAAGACGACGTTCTTTCACGTAAACAGGATCAGGTTGTTTTTTTAATTCTTTATCATCAACAACCCGAACATTTGAGTCCGAAAGAATAACTCCTCCCAAGAATACTTGACCCGTTAATTTTGGATTTCTTCGATCTGTGATGTCATACTGTCTAATGTCCCCGTGTAACCAATTTGAAAAATAAAGATACTTATCATCAAGACTGATTAAAATATCCGTTATCATGCCTAAAAAAAAATATTTCTATTTTATTTCTCCTTCATTGCAAAAAATTGATTTTTTTTTTAAAATACCTGAAACATATTGATCTAGCCAACCCTCAACTTTCTTTGGTGGAATTTGAATAACTTTTTCGGCAGACCATGTTCCAGTGTCATTTTTGAAAAATCTAAAAATGCTCGAATTCACTGCACAGCCAACATATCCCTCGCATGATGTTGGCTCGTGAAGGAATCTTGTTTCGAGCGGAGCAACTCCGTCTTTACCAAGATCAATTACCTGAAGAAGTTTCTTATCCTTCCAAGAATAAACGTTTAAACTTTGTCCATAAAGTGCTGTAAAGATGAATATATTAATAATTACTCGCCCCGCTCATAAATTTTAAATTATCATCCAAAGATCAAAATTTTGAACATGAATTTTAATTAGTTTCTTATAAAAAAAAAGAAAAAGATAATAATAAATTCATATTAAAATTTACTGGGATCAGTTCCGTCAGTGAGTTGATATCCTCTTTTAAAAACACGTGGAATCGCCCACTCGGAAGCTACAAGAACATCATGATAGGGTTGATACCAAAAATCATAACCAAATTTTGCTTTATCTCCTTTTGTCCACATTCCTTTGATCTCAAGACTATTGCTGTCAATGGAAAGAAAATCACCCTGAGCATCACCATTTGGTGTACCCATTACTGAGATCATTATTTCTCCAGTTGGAGAACAATGCGAAGTATGAGGGGATGCTGCTCCAAATTTATGCATTTCTTCTGGCTCCAAAATCTTTAATAATTAATATCCATTATAGTAACAAGAAAAAAAAATAATTATTATTATACAAATTTCAAAAAAAAACGTATATTTTATACGGAATGACCCCAAAAAAAATCCAAAAAACGGTTATAACTTCTAAAGAAATTAACGGATTGTTATGAAATTTAGTAATTGTGTTCTTTACGATAAATGCCATTGTTTCACTGCAGAAAGATACAAATTTAGGAAAAAAAAAATGCAAATTTGTTACGGAATGACCCAAAAAAAATTATTTAGAATCGTAAAATTTTAAAAATATTTTACTTTTTTCATTTTTGGTTCCCTTTCATTAGAAACGTCAACAAAATAAATACGATCTGAATTTAAACATGGAAGGACCAATGTGTCACGTTTTTTCGGTACATCATGGCAACTGCTGCAAATATTCCATCCACAATGATGAATTTCATCACCAACATATTTCATTCTTAGCTTATGTATTATCTAGAAAAAATATATTGTATTTTTATTTTTATATTCTCAAAGAAACTGTTTTTCAAAAAAATTTTAATTTTTTATCAGTTATAAATTTTGTCAAATAATCAAATATAGGTATATATTGTAAAATTTTTAGTATACAATATATAGTATATTAAAAATTTTTATGATTCTTTTTTAATTTTTTTATGTTAATAATGGCCAGTATCTTTTTATCATTCACAGAAAATTTAAAGGCATTAAAATAAGCTGCAACGCTTCTTATTTTAATCCAATTTTGCTTATTTTAATACCAAAATGGATTAAAATAAGCAAAATTGGATAAAAATAAGAAGCGTTGCAGCTTATTTTAATGCCTTTTAATTTTCTGTGTTATCACTCTGTATAAGATAAGTTTAATTTTTTTGCTCGACTGTAATTTCGACATTCGATAAAATTAATGATAAAAATTATAATTATAATTACAAATTAACTGCTTGTAGCTCTACAATGTTAATTCAGAATACCTCGGTTAATTAAAAGTACTTCAAAATACTTCAAAATACTTCAAAATACTTCAGAATGTTTCAAGATAATTCCGAACACTTCAAAGTACTTCAGATAAATAGAATATTTCAAAATTTTTCTAAATAAGGATATTTTAGATTTTTAAAAATTTTAATTTCAAAATTTCAAATATTGAAATAGAGAAAAATTTGTTGTATACAAACTTGGCAAAAAGTAGGACTCTCTGGATCTATGTCAACTGTGCAAAGTACGTCTTCTTTAGCTGGATTCGTATGTATGCAAACAGTGTACATTAATTTTTCTCTAGGACCCTCCATCATTGCTGCTTTCGGAGACCTATATCCTGGACCACATGGCTGACATTCTGTTTATTTATAATTAACATTTATTATGTAAAATAATCAAAAAATTAATTAATCAATATTCGGAAAAATATTTAATAAGAAAATTAAATCTTTTTTTAATTTATCAACTTACTTGCCACTTTTGCCATTTTGAAAATTTAATTTTCTACAAATGGATGAGGAAAATTAAACAAAAAAAAAACAAAAAAAAAACAAATATTAATTTTCAATTCGCAATTTTCATTTGCACTTTGTGAAGAGTTAAACACATCTGACAGGAATAATCAGTCATTTTGTGAGATCCGTCTCCCCTTCTTTTCTCACTTGACCTTGATAACCAACCAACGCTATCATCACATGATCATTTACCATTTTTTTATTTATGAATTCTAAATTCAAATCATTTGCAAAAAAAATACTTTTTTATCTTGAAGTTAAAATATTATATATTTTTTTTTTTATTTTGATAATTATTTCAGAACATAAGTGCATTCAACTTAACTTTATAAATTTAAAATAATCTTTATTACAAAAAGTGTATTTGCAAGCAACTTTTTATTAATTTTTATAAAAGTAAATAACAATTACATATTTTATAACACACAATATTGTCGCCAAACATTTGCATTATTTAAAAACTCAATATTACACAATTTTTTCAACAATATTAAAACTAGCAAATATTAAATATACTAAATATATATATATATTTTTTAAAGAATAATAGTAGAAAATAAAATATATAAAAAATATTTTTTTATCAATATTGATAATTATATAAAATAGTATGAGAATTAATAAAAAAAATTCAATTCCAATATTTTATATATGAAGAATTATATGTAGATTGAAAAAAATTATTTGATTCAAATAATTTGTTTACTTTATTATCAAATATATATTTATTTGTATTAAATAATTATTTAATCAATGGTATTTGTTTCAAATACAAAAAAATTATTGTTACAAATACAATTTATTTAATTGAAATAAAAATTGTTTTGCTCAAGTAAATATTTATTTGATAATAGTCAAGTAATCGATTATTTTTGAATGAAATAAATTTCTTTTTCAGTGTATAAAGAAATAATAAGAAAGGTTGATAATATTATATTAATATATACTATACTGTATATTATACTGTATATTATGTTAATATTTATATATACTATATGTATACACATAAATAATACTTTCGTTTTCTCGTTACATAAAATTCGATCCGTATTATAATATGTAAAAATACAAATGTCATTTTACAATAAGAGAATTTATAATATCAATTTAGAGCAGATTTCAGGTACCTTTATTGTTGTAAAAATAAATGAAGGTCTTATTCCCGAAATCTGTTTTTAATAATTGATACCTTTTTTATGACCTTGTATTTTTTTCAGTCAATATGTCAATCTATTTAATTATTTATTTATTAAATTAAATTAAAATAAATCCAATTCAATTGAAATTAATTAAATTTAATAAAATTAATTTGAATTAATTTATTAAATTATATTTATTAAATATTTAATAATATAAAGATTAGCAAATATAACAATAAAATTTTTTTAAAATAAAATTTACTTTCCCATAATTCTATATATATATATTTAATTTTGGCCCCACATTAAATTGCTTTTTAAATTACCGATATTGACATACTTTAATATTATATTGTATATTCGTCTCATGTTTCTTATTCTAATGTCGTTTTTTATTATTAATTACAAGTATTTTAAACATTTATTTATGTTTTTGATTGTCTAAACTAGAGGCTTTTGTCAAAAAAAAAGGCCAATTGAATATCCTATAAAATTGATTAATAATAATTTAACTAAAAAAAAAAAAAAAAAATTCTAATTTTATGGAATATTCATATGTGCCGTAAAAAAATTAACAATTCTTTTGTGCCGCACAAAACAGTCGTAGATATATATTATTACATTGTTTTTACTAAAATAACAAATTGAATAATTCTGTGCAATATCAAAACATTTTATATATATACAATAATTATACTTATTCTATATGTGGTGTGAAAGAGCAACAGTAGGAAAAATACAATTAATTTTTTTTAGCATATATTTATATTTTTTTATATATATTAAATGATACGTCACGTATAATTTTAGGCAAACAAAATTAAAAAAAAAATCTTTTATTAATTTAAAATAATTTAATTAAAAGAAATAATTATTAGTTAATATATAATACGATTAGAGAAAGTAGAAAAAAATTTCAGAATTTGATTAATTAAAGAAGGACCATTTTGAAAATTTACGAAAAACGAAGAACTAAAAAAAATCTAGCATTTTTTTTTTTAAGTAGATTCCTTTGTTACATTTTTTCTCAAAATTTGCTTATTATATTTATTACGCAAATAATCACAAATTGTCAATTTCTCCCGTTGACCAAGAGGCAATTGATTCAATTTATTTTTTGCATTTCTTATGTTGGAAAAAATGTTATCAAAATCACTATCTATTTTATCAAGAGTGCTACTAAAATTGGCAATCATTTTTAAAAATAATGAATTTGTTCGCGATTCAAATTCTAATTTTTTTTTAGTTAGAAAAACTACTAAGCCAAGAATTACAAAAATTGACACACATATGAGAATTTTTGGAATGTGCGACATTTTTTTTTTTATCAAACAATTCTCAATATATTTTATTTTGTGCATTTTATAATTTGTTTTTTCAATTTTAAAAAACACTCATTTTTTTTCAGTACAAAGATTTATGTAGTTAATATCGATTTTTCTTTCTTAGACATTTTTTTTTTTTTTTAAGAATATTTTCTTAATACAAAATTCGTATATGTTATAAATTAATGAACACTATTGGTTTAATTGATAGGATGTCTTAAATCTATTTTGGTCGAAAATTTAGAATTTACACGGGTACTATTTCTATATAATCATAAATTTTTTCAGGTACACTAAAAATACTCTTGAAATTAATTTAAAAAGTGATTATCAATTTTTAAGACATCTTTTGATGTTCCATTATTATTAGTTACTTTATTATTCGTTAGCTGAATCTTCTTCAAGGAATTATATTCTTTCAATAATTTTTCAATTTGTCGTTTCTTTAGCCTTGTAAAAAAAAAAATTATTAAACTTTTATTTGATATTTGAAAGTAATTTATTTAAGAAAAAAACAAACTTACTTGTTCTGATAATAAATACTTGACGTTTTCACATTTTTTCTTCGATATAACAATATTTGTTTCTTTTGTAATATTTTAAAAGAATTGCGAACTAAAATTCCGTGGCGCATTACTTTAGTTGAAATATTCTTTTTATGTCTCATAATTCGAAAAGATTGTGCTATCCTTTTTTAGAAATTTTTTTCAAATGGAGTTTCCTTGAATTTTTATTGATAAACTTTAATGATTCTTGCACGTTCATGAACGGTTTTTTTTTTATCTAAAAGTATTGAATGATTGAATTTTTTTAAAAATAATTATTAAATAATATTCTGAATTTATTAGAAATATTAAAAAATTCTTTGAAGTATTTAAATTATGATTTTACTTTGCCGTTTTGAATTGATTTTAAGTTTAACATTGAAATATAATAAATCAATAATTTCTAGAAATTGAATAAGAAAATTACATTTTGTCATAATTTACGTTTTTTTTTTTATTTTATTGTCTAATTTTAAAATAACAATAAATAATCGATGAAAATCATATAAATTTGATTTATAATAGCATTTTTAAAATTTTCTTTTTATTTGAATTTTTAATAATTTTATGAAACATAAAAAAATGAATTTATGTAAATCTTATATTTATTTTATTGCTAATACTATAATATATATATAGTAAGAATTTAATTTCAATAAACAAATTAAAAATTACTAAATTTTTTTTCTAAAAAAGTGAGAATGTACTCACGTGGACTGAGGGAAATAATAATATATGTTTGATGATGAAAATATTTGAAAAAGTTGATTCTGTTTATACTTGTTGATCATATGTATGGAGGAAATAAATGGACGTCTCCACGTGTATAGGCGCGGTCCTTTCAACCCTATTTCTTTGCGGTTATCCCGAATATCCCTATACACAACCGTCACACCGGAAATCCTCCGACACCAACAACTATATCTTTCAATTTGCGCATGCGTATCCAAATCAATAAAAGTTGTTAAGGGAATACCGTGGAGATGACATTTCTGTTTTTTTTTTTTTTTTTTTATTCAAATTATTTCTCATTTTTATTTTTGTAATAAAATAAATTTCTAATTTTTAAATCTTTTAAGATCAAAATATTTATTTACATATTTTTAATAAATTTTATTAAAAAATCATTTTTTTTTTTACAAAAAAAATTCTATCTAAAATTCTGAAAGTAAATTGTAGATAAATTTTGTCAAAATTGCAAATTTTAGATCCGTCTTGTAAATTAAAATTAAAAAAAAAACGGGAACACAGTAATTAAAAGTATACAAATTTGATAATAAAGTGATATTTATTCTATATGCTCTCTTTGATTGAGATTTACAAAATAAATTTCTTTTTATAAAATTTTTACATATTTTTTCAATTATATTTTTATATACACACACATTTTTAAAAAAATCATTAGAAAACAGTCTTCATTTATAGGTGATACCTATTTAAATCTAAACTATACATAAAAAAGAATCTTATTTATAAAATATATACAAAATTTTAGTATTTAATTTCAAATACATATTTTAAATGTATTGAAATGTATAATAAACAGTCACTGGGGTTTCATCCCTGGCTATAATTATTAAGCCTCCTTATAGTAATTTCTTAATATATAAATTTATACTTAGATCAAAATCGACAAAATTTTATAATTTTTGCAATTTTACAAAAAATTTTACAAAAATTTTGCAATAAAATACATGTATAAAACATGTATAATATAAAAACAATCACTGGGGTATGCATCCCTTGACCGCAATTGATTTGCAATGTCAACGTACATATTAATATCCTAATTTAATTTTACAATTTTTAATATTAAAAAGAAAATGATCACTGGCTGGCGTTCGTCTCACGTAGTATTATAAAAATACTCCCGAACTTAATTGCTAAACACTTAAATATAAACTGTACAATTATTTACATTTCTTTTTATAGTAAACTGAAAAAAAAATTTATTTCATTCAAATAATCGACTACTATCAAATATAAATTTATTTAATTATTTGAGTTAGTTAAATTGTATTTGTTTCAATTACAAAAATTATTGTCTGAAATAGTTGTTTTTAATTCAATTACACTGAAAAAAAAAAAATTTTTTATTTCATTCAAACATTCGATTACTTGACTATTATAAAAATAAATATTTATTTGTATCAAATAATTTTTATTTAAATTAAATAAATTGTATTTGAACCAATAATTTCTGTATTTGAAACAAAATACAATTTAATTGTGTCAAATAATAATTATTTGATACAAATAAATATTTATTTGATAATAATCAAGTAATCGAGTATTTGAATCAAATTTTTTTTTTAGAATATTTAGTTTCAAAAATATTTGCTAAATATTTATTTGAAGTTAATTATTTGAATAAAAAAAAAAAAATTTTATATTCTTATCTAAAATATATACAACTTAATTCGAAAATTAATTATTTACAATCTTTGATATAATCTAATTATTTACAGACAATTATTTATATAAATAAAAATATAATATTTACACGTATATTCATACTCTTTGAGATTCTCAATATAAAAATTAAATTTTTTTCTTTAATAAACTAATTTACTATTTTAAAAATTGAAAAATCGAAAATTCAAAATCGATACAAAAAAAAGAGAATTTGCAATCCAATGAGACACGCAGGTACTGTAGATTTGGTAGCAGCTGATGAAAAAAGACCAAATTTGATACCAAGACTTCTTCTGAGATGAGCTCTCAACAATGGATTATGATATTCCGTTGGACCACATTGATGAAGTGGTGCATCCCAAAGATTATTTTCACGTAGGCCAAGTTTCAATGTATATTGACCACTCCAATTGACACCAACTCGGGCTTTAAATCGAAGTGTCGATGGTGCTTCTAAAGAATCAGGTACACAATTATTGGGCCATGTGGGCAAAGCTTTGCCCATTTGTGATTCTGAATTAGTCATTAAATGACCACCACAACGAATGGCAATAAAATTATCCCCAGGAATCAAAAAACTCTCCGCCACATGAAGATCCAATTCTGTTGTTCCAGTTGGTACAGATGACAGCATTGGTTTTCTAGTTGTTTCAATTTGACGTTGATTTCCTCTCAACATTGCCGCATATGATTCCGCCAATGATGGTTGGGCATTTTTCAAAAGATGACGATACGATTCCTCCTCATTGACGCTTCGTTTCACTTTCTTTGACACTGACAATATTGGTTGTGCCGTCGATGCACTTTCATCATTATTTGGTTTTGGTAAAACATTTGAAAATGATATTTTTTCAATAGTCTCGCCAATTTTTCTCGATGTTTCCTCTTGTTTTGGAAGTTGTGTTTCTAAAATTTCTTCTTTAGTTTCTAAAATTCTTTTTTTCATTAAAGAATTTTTAAAATCTTTATGATATTTTGATTTGAATGGTTCACGTCTCATTCTTGAAAAATCGTCAAAATCGATAGATTCGACTTTTTTATTTTCATTAGGTAAAAGATTTTCCTCAACGTATCTATCAATTTCGTCGTGTCTTCTTTGACGACCTGCACGCTGTACATAACTTCCGGCAGCAGTCACTGAATAAATGTAGGAGAGACATTTTGGATCTGTATAATAATCCCAACGACCGGTCCAAAGTTTATCACCTGAATAAACTTGTAGTTGTCGTTTAATCCAAAGACCACCCTTGAAACTCTCGCAATTCACACTTAGCCAAGAACCACCCAATAAAGCCGGAAGTGCAACTCCTTCATTGAGCAATGGTGGACTACTGTCTGTTGATCTAATTACAGCATTGCAAATTGGACATCCAAACATCTGGAAATAAAAATATTTTTATTAAAAAAATAATAAAATAATAATAATAATAAAATAATAAAAATAAAAAATTTAAAAATCAGAAAGAGAAAATTAAATAAATTTTAAAGAAATATTTACCATATCGCTTCGAATGAGAGGTGAAGACTGTAGCGAGGATGGAAAATGTGAAAAACGAGAATTTCTATTTGGAGGTAAACCAGCGAGGAAAAGTTGAACTTGGGGTTGACCATTAGAGCCAAGGGCAAAAGCATTAGAACTTGAAGGTTTCTTTTGTACTCTGACAAGGTCTAATTCTCCAAAATCAATTCCCAATGGCCTTAAACAATCAATTCCACGATGAATGTGCAATGACTGATGACCTTCGAGTTGATTATACCTTGAAATTGAACCCTCGTCCCAATGGATATTTGAAAATCTTTGATTTACTTGGTAAACTAATTGCGCAACATAGGGTCTCCATTTTGGTTGTGGACTGCACGTGACGTTGACCCTGTGCTCAAATTTATGGGCGACCTGTAAACAAAACAAAAAAAAAAATAAAAATATTTTGAAAAGAAAAAACAATTTTTCGTAGAAGAAAATTCCACAAAATTTTTTTCCCACGAAAATAAAAAAAAAAAAAAATATTTTTCAGTCAAAAATTATTTTTGAATTTAAAAAAAAATTGGCTCTGAGAGAAATAATTTTTTCTACATGTATAGAAATTTAAAAATTAAGTAAAATTTGGATAAAACTTACTTGTCGATTAAGCGGAACAACGTGAACGGTATGCAACAGGTATTTTGTTTTTGTAACTCCAGGTATAAATGTTGATGGAGCATGTAATTTTATTGTTCCATGAGCAACGACAGTATGAGTTGGAATGGTACAGGATTCATCTGCATAATGATATCTTGACAATAAAAATGTTCCATTTGGAAAAAATAGATATTTTCGAATCAGATATTCCGGTCCAGCTCGAACTTCGCATCTGTAAATAAAAAAAAATTAGAAAAACTTTACTAAAAATCATAAAAAAAATATAGTTTATTTATAATTAAAAAAAATTTTATTAAAAGAAAATCAATTTTGAAATTGAAAACAGATGGTTATGAAAAAAAAAATAGACATAGATTTTCGGGTTATCGTCATTGATAACCCACAACAGACACATGAGGGTGAGTCAATAGAAATTTAAACTTATATATAGGCATTGGAAAATAAATTCTTTATCCTAATACTCATAGAAACTTTTATGATTTTACAAATGCCATACAACTTTCGTGTACCTTTTTAGTTATCTTCTACGATACAGTTGGGGCAAACTTAAATCTCTCTTCGAAATTTTTAAACCCTATAGATAAGTTTCCGATTTCCATCAAGATTTTCTTTTAACATTTTCCAGACATTTTTGGAAATGGAAAAAAAATATTGAAAGATTCGTAGATAATCCACTTGTTGAAAAGAATTTTTTTTAAAATACTTTTTTTGAAAGTAAATTTTATTTATTTCTCAACTATTTTTTTTTTCTACTCAAAAATTAAGAAACACTCTTTTTAAAATAAAATTCCCTTTTCGTATCGATAAATAAAAATATTTTCTTAGGGAAAACAATAAAAAAAAAAAATCCTTCCAAATTTTTGACCATTTGTTAAAAAATACAAAAATATCTCGAAGATGTAAAATATTTCCACGAGGTGATAGAAAGTCTTTTTTTCGAAAAAAAAATAATAAAATAAAATCGACGCCCACAGACATCATTCAGGCTTGAAATTTGAAGCTTTTAAACTAGTTCCTTTTGAGATGCAGTTTAAAATGACAGGTCGCAAAAGCGACGTGGGTCACATTTTAGAACTGCTATATATGCAAGGCCCTTTTAACTTAAAAAGCATTTTCTAAGAAAAGGGACGAAAAGCAAAACTGGGGTGAAAAATCCTAGGACACGCCGGGATATATTCTCTTACTCCCTCTGAATAACACTCGCATTGTCCATATTATATCCCCCGCTTTTACTTTTTCGGGGATGTTCCTCTCTATATACCTGAGCGTGGACCAAAAACCTTTACAATGTCCTGCCAGCACGGATCATTTATCTCGCTCCACGGTTTTCAAATATACAATGCAAAGCCAACGATTTGGAGTAGCTAATAAATTGATCGACGATCGTTAACCCAGCTGCTTTTTCAATTGCATTCAAGAAAAAAAAAGAAAAAAAAAAAAAAAAAAAAATTTTTTTCTATAAAATTTATGAATTCGACTTCAATAACCACAAGACATCAAATAAGAGTTACACTCCAATGATTCTATTAAACTCATTTTATATTTTATAATATATATAAACTTCTTTTACTAAATCAGAAATTTATTTATGGATTTTTGATTCAATTCTTTCAGAGGTGTTTAGGAGTCTTTTTTTTCAATGATCCGTGAAACATTTTCCAAACAATAGCAACAATGATAATAACATTAATTTTCTTTGACTTTGTATTTGGAAATTTAAAATCTGAACTGAAAAATTTGAGTCGATAAATTTTTTTTTATAAATAATTATTACGTAGTTTATTCGATTCAAATATGTACACTGAGAAAAAAAATTATTTGGACTAAAATAATCGATTACTTGAATATCAAATAAATATTTACTTATATGAACCAAATAATTTTTATTTGAATTAAATAAATTTTATTTGGACTAATAATAATTTCTGTATTTGAAACAAATACTAATTAATTGACTCAAAATAAAAATTATATTTGATTCATGTAAATATTTATTTGATAATAATCAAGTAATCGAATATTTGAATGAAATAAATTTTTTTTTTCAGTGTATTTATTTCGATGATTTTTTTCAGATATAGAAAAATATTAAAATGCGATTTAAAAAATAAACAATTTTTGAACAAAATTGAGATATTTGTCGGGAATGGTCTATATTTTTTTTTCGAGGAGGAAACAAATCTACTTTTTCAGGGATATAAAAGATCAAAGCGGTTTGAAAATAGGAGGGGATCTAGTTACGCCCAAAAAGAAAACCAGAAATTGACTCATAAAAAAATTGTGGTAAAGTTCGTTTTTTTTGTGATTTTTCCAGAATATATACAATTCTCGTGAACTTAAAATGGATTTAAAAAAAAAAAAACCGTGACAAATTAAAAATATTTTAAGAGGGTTTAAAAAATAAAATTTATTACTGTTTTACAATATCGTTATTACAGATAAAATGTAAAATTTCTATTTTTTAATTTTTAAAAATAAATTATTATTTATTATACCTAAAATAAAAATATTTTTTAAACTATTTTTTTAAATATTAAAAAAAAAATGATTCTAATATTATCAGTTTTTGATATTAAATTCGAACTCTTTCGAAATTAAATTGACGTTATTCGGCCTATAAACGTCATTTTGAAATATTTGATTAATGTAATGTTTTTTTTTTCTCCATTGTTACGCTTTATGGGAACACATTTTAAAAATTGTTTACCACCTACTTACGAGAACATATAATATAAAGAGAAAATTCTTTTGATGTTTCAGGATAAGCGTGTGCGGTACATAAACCTTCCCGCGCATTTAAGATGGTTAGATAAGTATCTTTAAATTCTGATAAAATTCTTTAGTCTCTTCGATATGAGGAACAGATAAGTTATAAGTGACATAAAGATGAAGAGGGAAAGAAAGAAACAGGCGCCTCTCTCTCTCTCTCTCACTTTTACGCGATCGTAGATATAGAAAAAGGTATACAGTTTGTTGTAGATCAAAAATTATTGATTTTTTTTTTCCAACCAATCCTAATGGCAATTTATCTCACATAAATATTTATCAAAATTGAATAGAGAAAAATGTTAAAATTTTGCATTTATAAATATCGGGAAAAAAAAAATTTCCCTTTCAACACGGAAAAAAAAAATATTTACCTGCAACAGCGAAAGATTTCAATAGAATAAAAAAATTAGTTAAATCTTTCACTATTTTAATAAAATCTTTCGTTGTTTCAGAAAAAAAAATTTTTTCCGCGAAACTTAAATTATTTCGAAAAAATAATAAATTATTATCAAACAATTAATATGTAATCGAATGTGCCTGAATTTCTGCCTAAATTTTTGTTTCTTTATTATAAAATAGTTTTCTGTATCCAAAAAGGAATTTTTTATTTTTAATCACTATAATAATTTTTCAAGAACAATTTTTCACTAGAAAAAATATAAAATGTTTTTTTTTTTTTTGAAGAAAGGAATTTAAAAAAAAGTATTAATAAAAATAATTTTTAAAGAGGTTTGGAAAAAAAAATTGATTATACTCACTCTTGTGATAGCCAAGTGGCTTCGAGTCTGGAGGGTGTCTCATCGGCAGTGGTAGCACTATCCTCGAGAAAAGATGTTCTCATGGCATTTTCACATTGATCCTCTCTGTCTGGTCCCCAGATCATTCCATGACAGGCACCTTTAAACAAAAGAATTGTTTTTTAATCCCTATTGGGAATAATAATCACATGCATCATTATATGTATTATAAAGATATGTGTGAGATATGTAAAAAGATAAATATATAATTTTGTGTCATATTCGTTGAAACAACTTCCCCATGGAAGTTATACTGCCTCATGGGGGTCACCTTTTCTTGATCTAAAAGGATGAGAGATTCTTTAACAGGTAAAATTTTTACGAACTCCTGCTGCGTCACTATAGCTGATTTAGGACATGACAGATCTGAAAAAATATACCCACTTCTACCCTATACTATATAGTATTGGAATTATCTTAGTTTTACTCTCTTGCCAAGGACCAGTTATATTACCTGGACCAGCAAAACTCAAATAAAGTCAAAAATAATTCCCCTATAGGTGACAATCACAAATTTTGATTCAAGATGAAAAAAAGAGTTCATCTCTTTCTTTCTGAATCATATATAGTCAATTTATAATCTTTAGGAATTTTTACATTGTTATCTTTCGTGACAATGACGTGAAAAAATAGTTTTCGAAAGAAAACAATATGAGAAAGGGATAAAAGCTGAAGTTAACTTCTCAGCTGAAAAAATAATTCCAAAAAAAATAATTCCAAAAAAAAATAGTTATATGAACGAAATATATATTTTTTTAATTTCTTGGTTTACCTTGAAAGATTTTTAAATAAATATTTTTTTTTTTTGTATGAATTTTCGTTTCAAAAATATATTTCAAATGATAAAAAAAAATTAAAATACTTTTTTAAGATTATTTTAATAAATATTTATTTGTTAGAGATAAATTTTTTTATTTGGATTTAAATAAAAAATTTATTTACGCCAAATATAAATGGGATAAGTATAGGCTCTGAGACAAATAAACGTTTATTAACTCAAATATTATTATTCAAATAAAAATTTCTCTGGCTGTATAAATTAATTTATGTTAAAAAATTAATTTCTGTTAATTTTTTTTCGATAAATTTATTATACTTAATTTCTATATATTTGCTCGACGTTGGACGTTTTGATGAATGCCCGATTTTATCAATTTTTAATCTAAAAAATTATAGCTTTTCTCTTTTACCTAGTCATATACAGATAAAAATCCTTAAATTTTTGCTTTTAAAGAAAAAAAACTGTTTTCAATACAATAAATAATTTGAGACATCTTTGACAATGTGAACTTTTGTTTTTGACTTTAAACCAATAAAAATAATTTATAAAATTTGTTTACAGTAAAAATAGAATTAAACGAATTTTCTCTTCGAAAAATTGAAATTAAAATCCCGCCAAAAAAAAAAAAATGGAAAATGCAAGAAAATTTGCCAAGAGAAATATTTTATTGACGTTTATATTTGAAACAAATAAAATATATTTGAAGCAAACAAAAATATATTTGTCTCCAGAGCCTAATAATTTTTTTTTTGATTTATTTTAAAATAGAAAAAAAGAATTATTTATAGCATAAATAAAATTTTATTTAGCGCAAATAAAATTTTTATTTATTAATAAATAAATTATTATTTATATTATTATAGAATAATAAATAAATTATTATTATTTTATTAATAAATAAATAAATAAAAATATAATAATAAGTACCGGAAATAAATTCGAAAAAAATGTAAATAATTTTTTTTTCAACAATCAAAAAAAGTGATTTTTCATAAAAAAAACAACCAATATTTTCTATCCTAATAACTTTAACGACAGGAATAATTGAGACGAAAAGCAGAATATAATAACTGGCCCTGGGTAAAAACTAAATTGAGAAGTTTTAAAAATTGAGGGGGGACGCGCATGATTTGGAGTGCGAATGCAGTGGCTGTGACATTCGTCCCGCATCATGAGAATATTGTGGGAGTATCCTGCTCTCACTCACAAACATGAGAGCATATGGTGTTTCAAGTGACTTTGGGAATTTCTAACGAAAACCTCTTCACTCAGTCCAGACCAACGTTCACTGTATATATATATATATTCATTCCTGCATCTGTATTTGTATATATGTATATATTTATAATATATATTTGTGAATGCGCTAAACACACGACTGGTGTGTCGAGGATTGATGACTTTTGCTTCTCGTTTCAAGAATTAAGAGAGGGGTCGACACCAAAAAACCCAACAAGCACACCCTCAAAAGTCTCTCTCTCTCTCTTTCTCTATGAAATAAAACCTAAACCAAACATTAAACGCTCTCATGTCCCCTAAATCATTTGCGATGTCGATTATGTAGAAAAATTTTTGAACAAATGAGAAAAAAGGAGAAGGAAAATTAAACCCATGGGAAAATTTTGAGAAAAAAAGGCCAGAAAATTGATGAGTATATATAACAGAGAAGAAAAATGGTCGAGTGAATATTTTAGATAAAATTTAAGAAATCGAAGTTATTTTAATTATTTTCGATAAATATTTTTTTAGTATCTTCTTCTAGAAAAATTTGAAATTTTTCTTTAACCACCGCTGAGAAATTAGTATTCTATTCCGTCGACTGCTTGTTATTCCCTTTGAACGATCTTTTAATTTTATATCAGTTCCCTTCTCTTTATTATTTAACTCTCGCTTTTTCTATTTCTTTTCTATTTTCGATTTTTATTTCCTTTTTTTTCTACACTAAAAAAAAATTTTATTTAATTTAAATAAAAATACAATTTTCAACTGAACCAAATAATTTTTATTTGAATTAAATTTGAATCAATAATTTCTATATTTGAAACAAATACCATTTAATTGACTCAAATAATAATTAATTGATACAAATATATATTTTTTTTTTTTGATAATAGGTAATCGAGTATTTCAAGTACATTTTTTTTAATGTTGGTTTAACTCAGACTATAAAAAAATTTAGTTGATTGAAATAATTGGTTACTATTAAATAAATATATTTACTTGAACTAAATAATTTTTAAAACCAAATAATTGAATTAAATAAATTGTATATTTGATCCAAAAAAAAAATCTGTATTTGAAATAAATACAAATTAATTGCTTCAAAAAATAATTATTAGTCTTGAAATAATATGCAAATAAATATTTTTCAATAGTCAAGTAACCGATTATTTGAATCAAATAAATTTTTTTTTAAGTTGTTACAAACAAATTTTTCTCAGCGATATTTTTCCAATGGCGGACAGTAATAATAATAAAATTAAAATAATAATAATATAATAATAATAAAATTAAAAATATAAAATTAAAATAATAATAGAGAAATAGTAAAAAAAAAAAAAATTTTTGTCCTATGTATTTTTCTCTCTATCTCATCTCTTTTACACGTAGCACTTTGTATTCTGAATAAGATTAGCGCTTAAGGCGACAAACATTGCACGCGAAGCTATGCGCATCTTGCGAGAGATTTCAGTAATCATGATGTGATTGACAATTTTGTATCGCGCAGATTCTCTTTGATATAATCACATTTTTAAGGTGAATTTTTCAAGTCATTTAATAATTTCGAATATTTTTCGAATGAAAGAAAGAAAAAAAAATGATGAAGAAGAAGAATAAAAAAGAAAAAGAGGTTTCACAATGAAAGGGAGCTGATTGAAAATAGTGACTGGGTGAAACGTTCATTTCAAATGTTGCGGTGAGCAGGAAATTGGTCAAAGACTTTTGAAGTAGTCGGCGTCTTTGATCTTATGGTCGGTCTTCAAAACCGTTATCAGTTTCCTTGCGGGCTCATTTTCAATTTTTTCAGTTCCGTGAATTTATCAAGTATTTAAAAAAAAATAAAAATTCTATTTTGTAATTTATTAAAAATTAATTTTACAAAAATTGATAGTAAATTTAAATTCGATTTATTTTTTTTTTGAGGGGAGATAAAATTGCATATATATATTTTTTTTTTTTGAAAATAAAGAATTTACTTTTACAGCAGTAAATTGGAGGAAATTTATTCTCATTCTTTGGACAGGACAATGAATTGAAAGAGAAAAATTTGAAAGAGACTATTAACTTATGCAGGGAACGATAAAACTGTCCCTCCATATCTTGGGGTTTACTTTCAAAGGTCGCAATGAAGATAAAAGGAATTAAACAACAAAAAAAAAAAATTCTACCCTTATGTTTACTCTCTTATATTCAAAACCCATAAAATAAGGGATATTTTTCTTTTTTTTTTTTTTTATTGAAAAATTGTCCAATATTATACAAAAGAAGAAAGATCGAATCAAATATGAAAAATTAATTTGCCTTTATTGAAAAAGGTTTCGTTTTACAAAAAAATGAATTTTTTTTGTCAAAAAATTTAAATTGAAGAAATAAGAGTTGAAAAAAAATCTCTATTGTGATTTAAATATATTATATCTAAAGAAGATAAAGACTTGAAAGACATTTAATTTTGTCAACAATATTCTCGAGAAGAGAGATAGGTCGAGGATGAGAAATAACAGAGGGTAAAAAAATTATCTTCATTGACAATAAAATGTTCTCGTATGATGCGATAAATATGATTTCTTTAATTACCACGCTAGAAGGAAATTGTAAATTACAATACGTCATATATTTACTCTTTGAACGAATGATCAAAACAGTAAATTCTAATATATTTTTAATATTAAAAATTCAATAATTCAATAATTAATAATTAAAAATTCAAATTGAATTTTTTGTAAAAAAAAAAATTAATTTATAATTAAATGTAAATTAATTTTTTGGAAAGGAAAATTTTACATGTATGAAAATATATGATAAAAGAATATAAAAAATATTTCTATATAAAATAAAATTTTTCTTACCAATCAAAAAAGTGTAAAAGATGAAAGAAAGATCCATTTTTTTTTTTAAATTGTATTTAACAAACACTGAATACACTTTATTCCATTAAAATTGAAATGTTTATTTGTTTGTTTGTTTATTTATTTAAAAAAAATGAACAATAATAAAACACGAAAACGCACATGTTCACTTCACTATTCGAATGATCATTGGAGTCTGGAACACTCGTGACTCTTGAACTATACTCGTCCCTTGAGCAACCTACCCCAAACCTATATAGACTCATCCCCACTCAGTGGCAAATACACAGCATCATTTCTTCTATTTCGAATATAGACGCGAGAAGAACCTCTTGTGGACCCCAAAAATTGAAAGTTTTTCTTTTCCGCATCCTATATAGATTCGATTCCTGCTGTGCGAGGGTTCTTTGGACCTTTTCGAAATATATGTATGAGAGAGTCGAAGACATCGTTACCACACCATAGAGTTTGGCGAGTGTATATAAAGTTTTTAAAATTGGACGTGCGTTTTTAAAGGAATATGACTTAGCTCCTCTCAGTCGGAGGCAAGAATTTTACCTTGTGGAAGGACAAACATTTTCAGAGACAAAAAAGTTCTCTATACATAACGGAAGTGAATAAACTGATAAAAAAAAAATAAAAAAGAACTTTCCCAAAAATTCTTGGAATATTTTTCTTTTTTGGGAAAAAATATAAATCCTTTTTTTAAGAAAATGAAAATTAAATCTCTGTTTCGCGACTATTTTCTTTTTAATGTATAAAAATAAAGAATTTTTTTTTTCAATTCAGAAAGATAATTTAAAATTATATCTGCAAGGAGAAAAAAAAATTTTATTCAAATAATCGATTATCAAATCAATATTTATTTGTATTAAATAATTTTTTAGTTGAGTCAATTAAATAGTATTTTTTTGCACACTCAGAGAAATGGTATATTTGTCTCCGAGCCTACTAACTCATTTATTTGTTGCAAATATATTTCATTTCATTGAAATAAAAAATTTATTTGAGTCAAAGAAAAATTTATTTCTGACAAATAAAATTTTTATTTACCCCAAATAAATAAGTTAGTAGGCTCTGAGACAAATATAGGTTTATTTAACTCAAATATATTTTATTTGGTTCAAATAAATCATTTCTCTGGGTGCAAAGAGAGAAATTATTTCAAATACAGTTTATTTAATTCAATTATTTGGTTTCAAAAATTATTTGGTTCAAGTAAATATTTATTTGTATTAAATAATTTTTTGGTTGAGTCAATTAAATAGTATTTTTTTTCAAAGAGAGAAATTATTTCAAATACAATTTATTTAATTTATTTGGTTTCAAAAATTTTTTGGCTCCAAAAATTATTTGGTTCAAATAAATATTTATTTGTATTAAATAATTTTTTGGTTGAGTCAATTAAATGGTATATTTGTTTCAAATACAGAAATTATTTATTCAAAGAGATACAGTTTATTTAATTCAATTATTTGGTTTCAAAAATTATTTGGTTCAAGTAAATATTTATTTGTATTAAATAATTTTTTGGTTGAGCCAATTAAATGGTATATTTGTTTCAAATACAGAAATTATTTATTCAAAGAGATGCAGTTTATTTAATTCAATTATTTGGTTTCAAAAATTATTTGGTTCAAGTAAATATTTATTTGTATTAAATAATTTTTTGGTTGAGTCAATTAAATAGTATTTTTTTTCAAAGAGAGAAATTATTTCAAATACAATTTATTTAATTCAATTATTTGGTTTCAAAAATTTTTTGGCTCCAAAAATTATTTGGTTCAAATAAATATTTATTTGTATTAAATAATTTTTTGGTTGAGTCAATTAAATGGTATATTTGTTTCAAATACAGAAATTATTTATTCAAAGAGATGCAGTTTATTTAATTCAATTATTTGGTTTCAAAAATTATTTGGTTCAAGTAAATATTTATTTGTATTAAATAATTTTTTGGTTGAGTCAATTAAATAGTATTTTTTTGCAAAGAGAAATTATTTCAAATACAGTTTATTTAATTCAATTATTTAGTTTCAAAAATTATTTGGCTGGAATAATTATTTGGCTTCAAAAATTATCATTTGGTTCAAGTAAATATTTATTTGATAAAATAGTCAAGTAACCGATTATTTGAATCAAATAAATTTTTTTTTTCAGCGTGAATTCTTATTTAAAATATATACAGTTTCTTAAGGAAAATTGTCCATTTTTTAATTACTATTATTGCTACACTGAAAAAAAAAATTTATTTGATTCAAATAATTGATTACTTGACTATTATCAAAATATTTATTTGTATCAAATACAAAGATTATTGATTCAAATACAGTTTATTTAATTTAATTATTTGGTTCAAGTAATTATTTCTTTGATTAAAAATTTAAATTCTAAACATTCCGAAATTTTCGTCAACTTTTGCTACGAAAAATAGTAAAAAAAACAATACTACTTTCGGAGTAAACTCTACTATTTCAGGTGTAATTTTTAATGAATTAAATTAAAATTTATTTTATCGAAATCCAGAGAAATATTTTATTGGCATTGATTTGTGATAACTAAAATTTATTTGAAGCAAACGAAAATATATGTATTTGCCTCAGAGCTTAAGAACTTTTTATTTGTTTTAAATTTAAAAAAAAAATATTTAGCCCAAATAAAATTTAATTTGTGCTAAATAAAATAGTATTTGCGCTAAATAAAATTTCATTTGTGCTCAAATTAAATTTAAAAAATTTAAAAACAAATAATATGTTATTAGGCTCTGAGATAAATATATTTTTGTTCTCTTCAAATATATTTTTTTCTCCTTCAAAAATATAATTGTTTGCTTTAAATAAATTTTAGTTATCTCACATATAAATGCCAATAAAATATTTCTTTGCAGATTTAAAAAAATTTACATTTAATTCTATAACACAATTGAAACGTATTTTTATTTTTTTTTTATCTCAATTTGTATATCTTGAAAATCTATTTATTATTTTGACATATTTTCTTCCTTTTCAAAAAAGTATTTTTGACACTTTTTGTGAAAAATCAATATAATATTGTAAAGTTCATAAAATAGATCGAACTTACTATTTTTTTCCTTAAGGGATCCTTTTTTTTCCTTGGCAACTTTATTTTCTTCTGTCAAAAAATATGTGTGCATTTTTTCTGAAAACATTCAATGTTTTCTGATGAAATTCAAAAAAAAAAAAAAAAAATATGCCAAAACGCATATGAATGAAAATTTTTCCCCAAAAATCAAATGTATTTTTATTGTAGAATTGGTCGATGCACAATGTATCAGCTGGATGACATCTTTATTCAAGAATCACCAGCTTCATCTTTTGTGCGTGAGGTCCCCGCTGTTATTGTTCCTTTTTTCCTCAAGGTTTGACTCCATGGCCATGAAGATTTGTGACGCGTGGATGGATTGAGAAATCTTCTTTAACTTTTGGGTGGTCGCAAAGCATATAAAAAAAAACATCTGCACTCCCCGCAAAATTTAACGGTCTCTTTAGTAAAAATTGATTAGGCCCCTGGGATACGCCCCGTTCATAATGGGATATATTATTATGTGACTTTCATGGTTGCATCTTATTCACTCAAAAATTATTATTATTCTTTAAACTTTGGCAGATCAAACACACACGGTATTGGTGCATCTGCATCTTATAGAAAATCGAACCCAAACATTATTACATCATAGTGAGATGAACACAGTGTGACGTCGTCTCTTCAAAACCGCAATTCGAAGATTTTTTCCTTTTCAAAAAAAAAAAAAAAAAAGTTCACACAGATAATACATAGATTGATGACTTAATGATCTACAAAAAAATATAACAATTTTATATTGACTCCAAAAAAAGTATCGAAAGAAAAAAATTTGTTCTATATTGGGTACAGTTTATAAAAAGTTTATTTTCTTTTATTTCTATAAAAGCAAAAAAACTAATAGTTTAAAAAAAGCAAACTAATTTTTTAGTAAAAAGTTATTTTAAAATAATTAAATTTTTATTTTTAACTAAAAAAATAGAAATTTCAGTATTTGAATTTAGCGCGTCGCTCACAATACGATCACGTGATTGTAAAATTAAAAATGGCGCTCACCTTTTGTCAAAACACATATATACACAGAGCACGTGTCCTGTGATGGCTTTGTTGTGCACAAATTTGTAAACTTCAAAATTCAACAATGGCTAAACTTTGCTCGTATTATACATTATCACCTTTAATTGATCAACAAAATTTACTTGGTGTTGAAAAAGATTCAAACCCTGGATGTGCAATAATAACACTCGGAAGGAACATCGTAATTCGTTACAAGGTTAGGTTTCCTTTCAATTTACTTTCAATTTAGTAATTTACTTTCAAATAAAACAAAAATAACATAAAATCGACCTTTTTTTTATTTAAATAATACAAATTTTGTTTATAATTTCCAATTATTTAAAAAGCATACATTATATCTATTTTAGAAAAATTATTTTTTAGGTTATGTGTGTACTCCCGGTACAATTATTAAATGAGCATAAAAATATATTTTCTTTCAGTTACAAGATGTAAAACAAGTAAGTAGTTGGTCGACAAAAGAAAGACTTACAAGTCAAGTTATTTACGATGAAACAACAAAATCATATTCTGCGGTATTTAATGAAAAATATATAAGAGTTTGGCTAGAAGAAGAAACGGAACTTGATAAAGTGAAGAAAAATAAATTTACTCTTCCACTTCATAGTATTCTTACATTGGAAGGATTTCCACCGGTGGTATTATTACAAAATGGAAATACAGCATCATTGAAATGGGCTCTTAAAAACAGAAAAAATTGGTCTTGTAAAGAAATTTTAAAGTCAAAAGAAACTTTATTAAAATCACAATTAGTTAATGTTAATTATAAATCATATCTTTGTACTCTGACTAAACTAGACAATGTATATAATTACATTTTAATGCCACTTGAAAATGACATTTTCCTAGGAGAAGCAGAAAAAATTATACGAATTGAATTAAAGCGGGATCTTGAAACTTTAGTTGGACATGTCGTTATGCAAGACAAAAAAAATGCCTATTTATTAACACTGTGTAAGTAAACACCAATTTTGTTATAAAAGTTGTGTTTGTTTTTATTTTGCAATTATATTTTTTAAATGTCTTCATTTATATTTTAGGGTCTGATGGTAGATTGTACAGTTACTCTTTAATTAATTCATCATTGATAAGTAGTCCAGGCGAATTACTTAGTAAAATAACAATTGTAAATACAAAATATCCAGTGGTAATGATTCCCTTAAACGAAACGACAATTGCCATGTATGGAGCCGATTCTTTGGAAGAAGGCGCCGTATTATGTGTTTACAATGTACAATTCAAATTGGTGCAAGCTGTTCAAAAATTGAAATTATATACAAACGATGCAAAACTTTGGAAAGTCGAGGACAAATTATTATTAGCTGCAAATCGACATTTGTCAGTTGCTCCATTTCGTTTGGCACCACAAAGATTGGAACCAATGGTCGGTTCTTCTTTAAATCATAAAAATAATGATTTTGATGAGACAAGTGATGTTGCAGTGATTAAAAATAGCGAAGGTGTAATTTCAAAATGGGAAGAACAAACGTCAAGTCCAGTTAAATTAAAAATGAATAAATCGACAAATTCAATTTTCAAACAAATCTCTGCTTTAACGAATGAGGGATTTCGTAATTCTGCCATACCTGAGGTAATTATTCCCGAATTAATTGAATCAAAAGACATCACGTCGATATTATGGTGTCTTGATAATTTTCGTGATTTACCAGAAAAATTATTAGTAGACTTATTATCGTTTTCTTTACGAACATCAGATAATGTGAAGTCATTAAGAAATGGAGACATTGACAAGGAACCAACGAAAATTGTCTCGAATATTCAAGACAAATTTTTAAACAAAATTTTTAGTTCCACTTACACTGATATTTATTTATTAATGCATCTAAAAACGAGTTTAAGTTTTGAAGAAATATTGAAAGTCTTAAAAAATCTTGTTGAACGATTAGATATTGAAGAAAATTTGGATCAACAATCAGAGGAACCTGATTTTCTACAATTATATCAATGGACCAATTTGTTATTAGACTCTCATTATCAGAATTATCTTTTGGCTCGAGATCCTCAAATATTGAATAAACTTCAAAATCTTCAAATTATTCTCGATAAACACGTAAGTTATAATTAAATTATTAAATATTATATAAATTTTACACATATGATAGCAGTATTATTTTAGTTTCAGTTACTTAAAGATCTGGAGAATTTAAGGCCAATGTTGGTTAGAATTTTAAGTGGAAAACCCGTGAAACCAACAACTCAAGATTTTAATAAATTTTACTCAATAGAAGAAGTGAAGCTATATTAAGTTGTAAAATGAAGTTTATTGACTTTTCGTATAAAAAATCAAATATTTTTTAAATAAATAAGACTGTTTCAATATTTTACTATTTTTTTCTACACATATTGGATCAAATAACGGTAAATATTAATTTTAACATAAAAACAAAAAAACTATTTTCAAGTTAAATATTTGTTTACGCAAAATAAAAATAATTTGCGATATAAATCTTTTAATATTTTTATTATATTATTTACACAATTACGTGAATTGCTGAAAAACACGACCCTTTATCATATTTTATTGATATAACAATAGAACATGTTTTTCATATTTTATATAAATAACGGATTGTAAATTGTTTAATTACTGTGTTGATTTTTTTTGTTTGAAATCTAATTTTTTTATAGTTGATCAGAATAGGGAACTGTTTTAATATTTCCAATTGCTGCTACCGTGGGCCGTGCACTGCTGAGTTTTTTGGCTGCCTGTTGATCATAAAATTGAAATACAATTTTTAAATTATTACTTTTTTTATGTGCTATTTGTAAAAAAATGTGTGACACGATATGAAACCGTATGTTTTTTTTTAAATTAATTTATTACTTACGTTTTTAACATCGGCGGCTGAAACTTTATCTACTTCAGCCGCAAGTTCTAATGGTGAAAGTACTTTTCCTCTCAACAAAACTTGTTGACTAAGATTTTCCAATTGTGTTTCTCCACATTCAGTTGCACCCAAAACAGCTGCTTTTAGTGCTGCTTTACCACGAGCAACATCAGTATCGGATATATTTGCAGTTCGTAACCATTTGAAAGCAGCTTTCGTAGCCTAAAATTAAATTCAGTACATCATTATTTTATTACTTTAAAGAAATAAGTAATTTTGAATCCTAATTTATAATTCTTTCACTGATGAAACTAAAATTTTTTTTTTTTTTTTTACCTGTCCTGCAACCTCAGGAGTTGTTTGTAAGATACAACCAAACAAACCAGAGTCAGCGTAACTTGCATTAAATGCAGTGGCAGCAACTGGCTCGTTACCAGTTGCTGAAGTAATTGCCTTTATTAAAGGAGATGCACCATTTCCCCATTTTACACAAGGTCCTGAGCCTGCAGCAGCTTTTAAAATTGCAAATGCAATGGCTTCATTTCCTTTCTCTAATCCAGCAGATTCAAAAGCCACTGCAACACTTGCTATCGGTGAATTACGTTCCTTACGTGCATCACCTCCATAATACTTTGCAGCTTCTGTTTTACAGTCGTTTGAACTAACATGCAATTTCGAAGCGAAATCACTTAATTCTGTGGCAGAAATTCCAGTGCCTACAACTGCGCATCTTGAGCCCGAGAACCAAGTGGAAACATAATGTTGAAGCTAAAAAAATAAATACTCATTAGAACATTGAAATTAAATTTGAAAATTTTTTTGGACTTACAGTTTCTGTACTAATCTCTCCAATTTGTCTTTTTGGTGAGTACAGCGAGAAACCTAAACCAGTACGATAAGCTGCCTTATGCAAAAGTTCTACTATTCGACATTCCTCAGGTACAGTTGAAATTTCATATCGTAATCTGGGAGAAGAATCAGAAATTTCCCAAGGTTTAAATACCTGACGAGTTGCCACATCCTCCAAGAAAGGCAAAGCTTGATTTCTAAATATTTAAAAAATAAACGAGTTAAATTAATTTTTTGTAAACATTATTTTTTTTTTATAGAATATACAATTATTTCGATGACTTACACTTTATCACGAAGAACTTGTACTGTATAAGCAATAGTTTCACGATCAGCACTCGCTGTTATATTAGCTCCCATCTGCTGAATATTTCTTGTTATTCCAAAAGTAGTGGATCGACTTGTTGTCAATCCTGCTGCTATTCTAAGAAGATGAGACATTCCTTGTGTGTCGTAAGTTTCATTTCGAGAACCAGCTCTAAAAAAAAGGAATTTTAAATTATATAAAGTCTTAAAAGTTTTATTGTTTTGTTTAAATTAAAATAAATCAAATTTTTTTTGTTAAAGATAACGCCGTTAACAATTTATACTTACTTGAAAACAATAGATACTTGTGTTACGGGGCTGTTGGAATCAACAGCAGCAACAGTAATTTTATTTCCTAAAACTTGAACGTCAGGAGATGGTAATGAAGCTTGAGCAGTTGCTGCAAGTGCATAATGACGAACCTAAAATCATATAAAGAATAATTTTAATAAAAGTAATATTCTAAATATACTCTACATGTCTTTTATAATTATAGAAAAAAATCAAATACATGCAAGAAAAGGAACATACATACATACACACAATTGAGGTTAGAAATACAAATTGTTTTTTTTTTTCGTTTGAAATCATTAACACTGTACAAAACATAAAAGAAGAGTAAAATACTTGGAATATTTAAATATCAAATGAACAAATAAATTAAAATTTAATCTATTTACTGATTTTTTGACACTGTGAACAATTAAATACGATACGATCGTAACTCACGAAATTCTAACAAATTTAAATCACTATCTTCAATTAATCAAGTTTTATAAATTCGAGATAAATAAAAAAGATATTTGTAAATTTATATTTTCACTTAACGATTATTATAATTATTTATATTCTATATTATACATTTTGAAGTAAATTTCAAATTTACAGAGCAAGGTTTTACATAACACTTGGCGAGATGCACAAATCATGGAAATAAATTGTTTAAAGCACTTGAAAAAACTGTCAACAAAACTGGAATAGAAATAAAACTGTTATTAAATACTTTTCTCACCGAAGAATTTCGTAAAATAGGACTCCGCACTGCTGAACAAGCCATATTTTTAGTCCTTTAAATATCACCAAGACACTTGTGAAAAAATGTCTCCACGAAATCGAAAGAAAAAGATCAAGAATCCGCCAGATGTCTCTGAAATCGTTTTCATTTTTGACATTTATTTAAAAATTTAAATATTTAAATTAACAATACATTGAAAAAAAAGAAATCTAATATTTACAAAATACAGGAATTTGAACAATAGGTAAATATAAAAAATTGGATATATTTTCAAAAATTAAAAAAAGATAAACATTTTATTATTATTAAAATAATTAATAAATTTGTTTTATTTTTTTTTTAAATTAAATAACTATTATTAATAAATGATTTATTTTATTCTAAGGTGAATTAAATAAAAACACAATTATTTTAGGGAGAGAATATTATTTTGGTCTCTTTACTTAATGCTGCTTTCTATGTGGCAATACTTACAATATTATAATAAACCTGATACAAATATATCCTGTGCCGCATTTTGTACTCGTAAATATTTTATTATTCTTTTTTTTTTTTTTTTAATAAGTTTTGTTCATTTTTTTGTCTTATCGAAAATTCTGGCTATCCTTTTTGAACAAGGACCAACAATTTTACTATTTTTCATTGCGGTTTTCCCTCTTACATATATGTATATATATGAAATAGATACACAATAAGCCAATGATAAAAATTGAAAATAAACAAAATATAATATTATAATTACAATAGAATTTTTTTACATTATTTCTTTAATATAGAATGTAATAGTAATGTTGCAGATCCTTGAAAAAAAAATACAATGAAACATTACACTTGAAAGTTTCATGCCTATAATAATATTGTAATAAAATTGATTAAAATGAAATTTTTATACACTTAGTACATAATTTAAAATAAATTAATATCATAATATCACACTTAGTTGTATAAATGGATTTCAATACATTTAGGAATCGCAGTAATAATAATAATAATAATACATATATTGAAAAAATTATATCTAAACTTATTCATAATCTATATTTTTATAAGGTAATATACACGTTGTTAACAATGCATTTGAGCATTATACATGAGAGGGAGAATTTCATGATATCACATGGAAGTTAACTGAAAGTAATTTAAAATTATTTTTTTTTAAATTACTCATTACCTAACAACTAGAATAATTTATTATTAACAATACGCCATTAAAGTTTGTTCAGCTACAAAAATTATAACAATAGGCTAAAAAAAATTCTAGAATTCGTTATATTAAAAAAGAACAAAAATTAAACCAAATGAATTTAAAAAAAAAAAATAATTTTCGCATTTTATCTTAGCAACTATTATTACAATTCGTAAAATTGGAGATCTATATAGCCATTTTAATAAAAATTCCCATACAATTTGTTTTTTTACAATACATTTTTTATCTAGGAAATAGAAATTTTGTGAAATGAATTATTTACAAAATGTTCTGTAAAAGTTGATTGCATTCATTTCAGTATACGTCATATCTATGAAAATAAAATATTTTTTTTATCCATCCCTAAGATTCAAAATTATTAAATTTCAACATTTGCACTTTTACCAAAATTTTGAATAAGAAAGTTAAATAAAAATCTGATAATTTGGCACAAAACTTATAAAATATTTATCAATTTTAGTATAAATGGCAAAACAAAAGTGTGATATTCAAATTATAAATTAAAACATAATTAAAAGTAAATTTTACATATACTAATCATGTTTCTGATATTTATTATATGCGATAATTTATTTTATATCAAATTAAAAATTCTGCATTCACAAAATTATTAATTAGGATCTATTAAGAAATTAAAAATTAATTAACCCAAAATAACTTAATTTAGGTTATAATGGATATAATGGAAATTTGAAAAAATAAAAATTAAAGGCAATAAACTTGTAAAAATATTTATTAAAAACTGGATAAATTATTATTAATTTCATTAATTAGTGTAATAATTGTATTGATGGTCAGAATTTTTTTTTTTTTTTTTTTAATATTTCTCCGGATTAAATTAAATTTTAATAAAATAACAAAAATTTGATAAAAAATTGAATGGTAATTAACAAAAAAAATTGAAATTTATAACGACGATAATATTAAAAACGTTATATTTTTTAATTAAACTGTTTAAAAAATAGAACACAACATTGATTAAGGTGATCCATTTTTTTATGTCTTGGTATTAAACATACTAATCGAGAAAATATTTTTGGAATATTTTCCTGATTTTCAATGCGACAATCACTTTTTTTTAAAAATCTATATAATTGTAAGATATCTTAAAATTACGATCTTGCATATCCAATATGTACAAGATTGTGCGTACCTATAGTGACTAGAATGAAGGAAGTAATAATATTATTATAAACCTTTATCACCATGCATATACACTTAATACTACTGTTAGGCGTTCTGATTTAAGTAATTAAATGGCTATACAGTCCTGGATAACCAATCGGTGATTACAATACAATTTTTTATGTCTAGGAAGTCGTTTTCACAATTTTTTTTCCTTTTTATAAAGAGATCGTTTCTTTTATGTATCTATGTACAATAAAATAAAAACAGTATTGTCACATTTTTTTTGTCCTACAAAATTTGTATACAATATAGTTTTGAATTTCAATTGGTAGTTGATTTTCAATAATTTTTAAATGTTGTCAATTAATTAACAAACGCTGTTTTTTTTTTTTTTTTTTTTTTTTTAATATTTTGGTATCCAGGACTACATTTATAATTAGTTATAGATGAAGTAAATTACGAAAGTCACATATAATGGGACCGTAGTCCCTAAATAGAAGAATAGGTCAGAATATTAAATAACAATTTGTTTTGTTTTTTTTTGACAAACACACATTTTATCACGGACGTTATATTAAAAAAAATTTTTTTTTACTACTCTCGGATTCTTCTATCGTCTAGCAACTTTATTTTAACAATGATTTTCATTTACTCCTAAAATGAAATACAAAAAATATTTTCCATACTGAATCGACTAAAACTTCTCAAGAAGATATAACTTCTTTTTAATTTATAGAATACTATTAGAATTCATTTTTCGAGTAAAATTAAATATATACAAGACGAGATTTTCCATTTTTTTTTTCAGTATTCAATACACACTGAATAATACCAAAATAATGGACGTAGAAAATTTTTTTTTCATTTGTATCGAAAAAAGATCACAGCTTATGGGCCACTTTAGATTTTTGCTTCTCATTTTCATAATTTTTCACTTTAAATAATTAATAGCGTAAGTAATAAAACTTTGTGATCATTTTAATAATTTTGATTCAATTTTTTTTTTTTAAAATTAGATGAAAATATAATTCTTTTTTTCGGTAAGTTTTACAATTATAATAATTTTACCAGCAAAAATATAGAAAAAAAAATTCCTTATAGGAAGAAATTTCAGTAAGTTTCTTCTAATTAGTTTATTCTTTATAAAAGAATTTTCTTTCTTAATGCATAATATATGGCTGACTTAAAAAATAATTTCTAAACAATAACTTTAATAATATTCTTCCGAAAAAATACTGATTTCATAATTTCGGCAATGAAATTCATTACAAATAATAAGTTTGAGAAATTAAAATGAGTAACAAATATTTTTGCACATTTTTTGACTTAGAATTTGAAATTTCATTGAATGGCACAAGCTTTTTTTATTACTATAGCGTATACCATCAGCAAAATGCTTTTTTTTCCTCCTTTCATTTAATATTATCATTTTATATTATCATACGAATAAATCTACATTATTAATAAATAATAAAGGAGTATTACATCGTATTAAAAATTACTTCTAGAAAAATTTTGTTTTTTAGCTCAAAATCAATAGATATACATATTATTATATATAGATTAAAAAATTAATCTAAGAAAAAGTCGTAAAAAACATTAAAAAATAAAAATAATTTTTTAATCTATAATAAAGATATTGGAAAATAATACAATATTGGAAATTGTAAATTAATGAAAAATGTAGATATGGCAATCATTTTTCATTTTATGTTTCCTTTTTTAATTTGTAAAAATTAATTCTTTAATTATCCACAAAATATATTATAATATTGAAATAATATAATATATTTAATAATGAGTCGTATGATTATTTTCCAAAAATGCTTCGAGTTTTTATCACTGTATCATAAACTTTAACTGATTGTCCAAAATTCTCATGTTTATAATTTTAGTATTCTAATAACTATTTAACGTATTTTTTAAAAATTAATTAAAATTTAATGCAACAAATCAGTTTATGAAGCAAAAAAATTTAAAAAAATTTTTTGAAAATAATCATACGTTTCAATAATATATTATTAGAAACCAAATAGAAACATTTAAAAAGAGATGGAAATCGTAAAACTTTTTTATAAAATAATTTTTTAATTTGAATTTCGAAATAAATTTTCCAGCCCTGAATTCAAGAACAAAATTTTTTTCTATAATGAAACATAAAAATGCTTACGTTAATTAGTAGTACCCAGAATAATGATGATAGCCGGATCGTGGTGGATGATAAGGTGCAGGACTTACGGGATACGTTGAATTATATCCAGGCAATGGAGGAGGAGGCGGGGAGAGAATTCGACTTTCAACAGCGTCAGGTACCACGTGTGGTGTTGACGAACCAGGTGGTTGTGGACTTGTTATTAAACGTGAACCGGGTCCATGTAAATGATGATTTCGTGAAAGACTCAAATCAACGCTGTGTCTACCTCCTGGTGTTAAATCTAAACTCACTACCCTCAATACATCACTATGAGGATAAGGAGGTGGAGGTGGAGGCGGCGGTGGTGGTGATAATGAATAATTTCCCGTTCGACTGAGATCAACACTTTGACGCTCTGAAATATCATATAAATGATGATGATGATATCTTGCATTTTGCACCTGTGAACCAAAACTATGATGAAATCCTCTCGCCGACATATCCAAACCCTGTAATTCACCGCTATTGAGGACAATAGGCTCAAAATTTGTTCGCTCTCTACCAAAATCTGAATCAAGTGTATCATATTTATAGGAGGTTGATAAATCTAATTGCAATGCTTTTTCTTTAACAGATAAACTTAAATTTTGTGCAACGGAATCTCCTTCGTCACTCGATAAATTATCAGTTGGCACTTGATGATGATGATGGTGATGATGATGTTGATGATGATGCATGTCTTGATAACGAGAATTTGGAGTTGCCGATGGTGAAATTAAATCGTCTTGTTGCACGTGAATATAAGCATTTGGCGAATTGACACGAGGTAAATCTTCATGATGAAGATATTGTTCGATATTGTGAGATCTAGTTGTTGTCATATATTCAATGGGACGATGAAGATGATAATCAACGTGTAAATGATTTGGTGATGTGTGTCTATTATCCGATGTTGGCGATGGTGATATAAGATCATCTTGATGTTGAATATAAGAATCGAGATGTGGTTCGGGTGATCTTTGTGGCATTGGCGATTGTAAATGATTTGATATTGAATATAAATTTGTATCACGATCATTGTCATCGAGAATTGGACTTGAAACTGCGCCAATATCACGTTCAGCGGCGTCCAATGCTGCTTCAACTAATAGACTTGCACTCTCGGTACGTCTATACATTCCCATTCCTAATTTATTGCCATTCATTATATTTTGTGTTGGTGAAATCACTTCATCCTCCTCGTCTTCGTCGTCTTCTTTTCTACTGTCTTCAAATTCATAAACATCATGAGTGACAGACGATTCGGATAAATGGGTATTAGGCATGTCTATTGTAATTGGTGGATTAAATTCGCCCATCCATTTTTTACTGCCTTTACTTTGCATTCTTGATGTTCCATAGAGATCAATTTCCGTTCGAATATTCTCCAATGATGATTCCACGGGATTTGGCATTGGCACTGATTGTTGAGGTGATGCTGTTATTTCACGATCTACTTTTAATTTAATTGCACTATTTTCATTTGAAAATTCGACTACAGTTGATTGAGAGATATTTTGAGTTTCCATTTTTAAACTATTCTCTGAAGTACACTCGTCTAATGAAGGTAAACTATTGCTATTATCCTGAAATTTAGAAAAATTTTATTTTAGTATTAAGTTTTAATTTGAAATTTATTTAATTTTTTTACCTGTGAACTTGTTCTTGTTATTCTTGGCGATTTTCCTCTTTCATTTTCTTCAATTATACCACCACTGTATGCATCAAAAGTATATGCAACCGATCGTTCAATTTTAGGCATCATTTCTTCTGTAAGACCATGTACCTTCTTGTAGTGAAATTGTAGGCACTGTTTTGTAGTGAAGGCAGCTTTACAACCATTTTCTTTACATCTGCAGAATAATCAGAAAATTTAATTTTTCTGTTTACTTTACATGTGAATTATAATATTAATAAATTTACTCACTTAAATGGTTTTACTCCACTGTGAGTGAGCATGTGAATTTTCAAGTTACTTTTATTTTGAAACATTTTTCCACATCGATCACAAGTTGCTGCACCAACAACATCTTTATGATGAACTTCTTTCATGTGACGTTGAAGAGCAGCACGAGATCCAAGTAATTTTAAACATATTTTGCACTGAAATTCTCTAAGTACTTCGGACATGTCTAAAATATTAATTATTGAAAATTAATGAAAATAATTATTTGAAAATTAATAATTTGAAATGAAATAAAAATTTATACTACCGCTGTGCATTCTTTTGATGTGTACTTTCAATTTTTGAGGTTGACAAAATTTACGACCACAAAAATCACACAATGGTCGTGAACGTTGTGGATTTTGAGAACATCCATATGTCCTGTGCATTTCAAGATAATTTAATCTTAAGAAAAACTTCTTACAATACTGACATTGATAAGCACCACGACCTGCATGAAGTTCAGCTGCATGTTTCATTATATTATCTTTGCCCAAAACAGCAGCACCGCAAACCTTTAGATTTGAAAAATTATATTTTAATTCAAATTCATTTAATAATTTATTGTACGAATATTTTGTTAGAGACACTTACTTTGCAATGATATTTCCTAATGGTAAGACTGTAATTTGTATCATGGAAAATACAACAATGAAGACGATAATAAATTGGATGTGCAAAATTTAAATTACATCCACCACAATCTGAAAAAATTTTTATAAATTCGATATAAAATACTTTATATTTTAACATTAATTTAAATTTAAAATTTTGTTTAAAATATTTACTCGTTTTGTCTATTTTGTTCTTCCTCGTCCAAGCGGTTGATTGTGAATCAGCCCAGTAAGTTAGCTCCATTCCCGATGTAATATTTTGCGTTGTAACTAAATGTAATTCACCGTGTTTATTAATTACAGCAACATTTCTCTCTTCTTTAGATTCTGCTGGTCTAATATAACGAATCCAATTACTTTTCAGTGGATTTGTGGTACTAATATAAGAAGTTTTGCCACCATTTTCAATCTGGAAATATAAAGTTCTCAATGAATCATTAACTAAAATAAAAAAAGTGATTTAAAAAACAGAAATTTACCTCCCAAATATGACGCATTGAAAAATCATCTGGTATATCCATTTCCTTCACCGATTTACCAACAAGAGGACCAAGTTGCGCGTAAATTGGAACTGAACTCTTGGCATAAACTCCAAGTCCATGTTCAGAATTTGTTGATTTAAATTCAAAACAATCTGGTATTGATTCCCGCGAATATAACGGTTTATCGTCATCCAATTGCAATTGTTTTTCTTCTGTTTCCTCTTTAACTTTCAATTTACATTGTTCAGATTGTACGGAATCTTCATCTGAATCAAATCCATCGTCTGTTATTTTTCCATAACCTTCAGACATTGGATCATCGGAATTGACACTTTTCATAACTTCAGAATTATCTTGATGCTTATTCAGCCAATCATCATAAGAAATTGAATCGTGAATAATGTATTGTGGTATTGTTAATGGACAAGCGTCTTGTAAATGTCTACTGTTACAATCTTGACAAAGTTTAATGGTAATTGCCAATCTTTGTGGTTCAATTGAAATATTTTCCGCGATTTGTTCATTGACAAGTGTTTCAGGTGGAATGCAATTTGAATCGTTTGTAATTAATTCTGTCTCCTTTGTCCCTTCGATAATAATTATTCCATCTTGTGGTGCTTTTCGAACGTCATGATGTTTTTTATTTTTGTGCTCACCTGGCACGTGTTTGTGCTTTCGTTTACGATGTTTGTGCATTAATTCTTCACTGGGATCATCAAGCGATTGAGTCATTATATTTTTTTCCGTTTCACTGTCGTGTTTAAGTTTCTTTCGTTTCTTTTTCAATTTTTTATCATCCAAATCCTTTGAATCACTTTTTGCAATAATCTCTGAATTTTCCTCAACATCACCTCCATACTGAAGAATATTTCTTTCCTTATTTTCAAATTTCAAATAATTTTCATCTAATTCTTCTATATTTTTAGATATTGTTTCTTGATATAAATTCTCGGAATTTGTATTTTCTGTGACATTATTCTCTTCCTCCTTATTCGATTCCAAATTGTGATTATGTTTTTGTTCATCATTATCGATGATTTCTTCTATATTATTAGATGAATTATTTTCAATATTTACATCTTTTACAAATACTACTTTTAATTCTGATTCTTCAGTCTTAAGTGCTATGGATTCTTTTTCACTTGTACTGATATTTTCATCTTCTACAACTACATTAGATTTATTAACGGAAACATTGGTATCCTCTAATTCTGTAGGAATTGGAGGATTTTCTTCATTTTGTGTTATGTCTAAAGTTTGTTCATTAGCTTCTATTTCGGTACCATTATCGTCTTGTGTTTTTGAATGTTTTCTCTTTTTACGCTTTTCCTTATGATGTTTATCTTTACTTTTATGATGTTTTGTTCTCAAACTTCGTCTCAGATGTAACTTAAAAACATCATCAAGAAGTACAGTTGGCTGAAGTGATTGTATTGTTTCAATAGAAGGCACCTCAGCATCCGTAGCTTCATTTGTCTGTTTCCTTGGACTACGACGTAGTGGTTCCTCCTCTTGTGTTAATGTACTATCATTTCTAGAGACACTCGAGTCATTCTCCTTATCGTGGTTTGTTTTCCAAGAACTCTCTTCGTTGCATTTCCCATCTCGTCTTAAACATGGAAAAAAATCAATGAAATAATTTTTTTTTACAAAAAATAATTAATTTCTGTGATCAAAAAATTCAAATCTTTTCCAGTTATTATTTTATTTTTATTAATAAATAATATTTTTCAAACCAAGTTTATGCAAATTAATCAAAAATACAAAAGAAAAAAAAATTTAAACGAAATTTTATTTTGTGTGTATATATATATATATATACAATTCTGTGTTTTCGCGAGAAAAATTGATCTTTCACCCTCAACCCCCAAGGGTGGGTTATAATAAACCGCAAGATGGCGAATTGCTCTTCAAACAAAACACTTGATAAAGAATTTCTGTGATGACAAAAAAGGGTATTTCCCGCGACTACTTTGACAATTGTCTCCCCTAAAATGAATTTCTTTTTTTTTCAAACAATTGCTATTTTTATATAGTAAACATACCTGACAATTGATTCTGCCAAATCTAGAAGATAAACAACAAGATCTTCGTCCGTCAACAATCCTAAACGCTTCTTGAGCGAAAGCCATCGCTTTCCATTAGTAACACCTATATGAATATTCCGAAAATGTTTCGTTTTGATATCTGAATTCGTTGAATCACCCTTATGATATTTTTTTGCAATTCCTGAGTCTTTCACATGTTTCGTACTTTTTTTCGGCATAACTACATAGTGGGTATATCGCCGGTATTAAAGCGGCGAAAGGACGCTCACACTAAATATTATTCCATCCTCTTTAGTTTCACCCGCGGCCCATCTTTAAACACCACCAGTGAAACCACACCACCATCTCCACGGATTCGATGATTAGTCTCTTTTATCGATCCATTTGCATGCACATATACAATATTTTGAATGTGGAAACATCACAATTCTCTATGTGTAAATGACATTTTTTTTAAAGCGTCCTCTTGTATTCATTGTTTATACTATTTCAAAATATAAAATAATCTGAAAAATTTTTTGTTTTAATATTTTTACAAAGGTTTGACGAACTTTTAATTACTTATATCAGTTAATAATGCAATTAACTAAAGGAAAATATAGTTATTATAAATATTACGTTTGTTGTATAAATTTACAATGGACCAATAATTAGAACACTTGTGGTAGTTAAAGAATATAAAGAAAAAAATACTTATAAAATTAAAATAAGCTAATGTTTCTCACTTATTGATACACAATTATTACTTTTATAAGGAGTAATTAACAAAAGTAATTGTTTATGACATATCGATTTAAATTTGTCCACATGTGGATAAGCTTAATGATATTCAATATGGCGGCGGCGGACAAATTTTTCTGCATTTCTGATTGGTGGATGAAAATATTTTCAAATTAAAGAGCGTATCCACATGTTGGAAATTTGAACTGTCATTTACATGACGGCGTGTGACGGTCCGTCAACTCCTCCTCCTTGTGTATCAAATGATAATAGAAAAGGACAGACTGATATGTTCTCGACGTTATTCTGTAATATTTATGTAAAAATTTTCTTTTTAAGTTTAATTTCAAATCATCATTCTGCTCAAGTCATCATATATTTTGGACGATTGATAAATAGTGTTCACAACAGCTGATAAGCTTTTTATATACACCCACTGTTATTATGGCCGCCGCTCCCAAACACTTTGACGGAATAGAATATAATGTGCACGTGGTCAAATGAGATAAAACAGTTCAAAATTCCATTTTTTTGTAAGTATAATAAATTTATAATTGTACTAAAGTATTATTTAATTTGTATTTTACTTATTGAGGAAAATATTACAGTTATTATTGATGTATGTTCACTGATTGCTTTCTCATATATTTCTTGTATGATAATTTATTATTGATGTAATTTTATATATAATTTGAATATAAATTTGTATATTTTGACAGAATTTTGCTACTTAATATTAAGATATGTCATAATGACGCCAATCAAGGATAATCAAGATGTGGCCTGTTTTCTGGTCACCAAGCACTCATGGAAGGGAAAGTGAGTATTTTATAATTTATAATCTCTTTATTAAATTATTCAATTTATATTTTTGTTTTGACATTTGTAAAATTTTTCTTCACTGATTTAGAATTAAACATTTAATTTCTAAATAATTTTGAATGTTTATTAATTGTAATGAATATTTATTTAAGGTACAAACGTATTTTCTCAATCGGATCCATGGGAATTACTACATATAATCCAAATAATTTAGAAGTTACTAATAAATGGGAATATGCAGATTTTATTAATATTCAACCTACAAATCGCAATCAAGTTGGTTCGTTGGAATTCAGTATTACAATCCGCAAAGATCGTAAAGTGGAAACAATGAAATTCAGCTCAGATCAGAGATCGCATTTATTAACAGAAGCTCTTAAGTATAGATATCAGTTTTCTGAGAAACCTAAAGAAGTTTGGGTAAGTATACGATAAATCCCCTATTTTTTATCATTTTTTTTTTTTTTGATTTTTGCTTTTAAAAATTTAATTTAATAATTTCTTTTAGAAATTTTCAGCCTACAAGCATCACTGGTCGGATACAAGATTACCAGTTGTTCTCGAAGTAACACCATTCAGTCTTGATCAATTAGATCCTGCGACAAATATGATTTTAGCAAGTTACTGCTACAAAGATTTCGAAGGATTAGCATCAGTGAAAGATTATCCAAATGGATTTGTAATAGTTTACGGTGGTTTTGGACGTTTACATTTATTTGCTTCCGAACATATGGAAGAGATTAAAAAAAAATTACTTGAAAGCTCATTAAATAATTTGGGTATAAGTATAAAAGTATTAAAAGAGGCAATTCAATTAGACGATTTTATTTCTCAAAGATTTGGCAAATTCAGTGGAGATGAACATATAACAAGTGTATCTGAATTTACTGTACATAAAAATTCACCAAGACATTCGGATCTTCAAAGAAGAACACTTTGCCTATCGGATACGTGTGTTTTGGAAAGAGATCCACAAACTTATAGTATTTGTACATTGAGGCCATTGTCAGATGTATTTGCTTTAATTCGTGATCAATTGAATCCGCAATTATTTACAATTCAATATTTGAATGGACAAATACGTTGTTATGTAGCAACCGATAGAGATTCCTTATTGGCGTCTTTACTTGATGGTGTTCGAGCATCAGGCAATCGAGATGTTCACATTAGAATGTTTCCCATTGCTCGGGGGAAGAGATTAGGACCCTTTAATATTCCCGTAGAAGAAGAGGTTGAAAATAATCATGTTAAGTTCCTTCAACAATTACCAGGTGGTAGAACGTTTGCTGAAATCTTAGAAAGGTTTAATGCAAATATTCCATACAGTGGCCTTCGTTACATAACGCAAGAGGTGAGAATATTTTAAAAAATAAATAATATATTTTTTTTCTAATTGAACATCATTTTTTAGGGAGGACTTTTTACGGAGAACAAAGATAAATTAATTCTCAGTGCTCTAAATTCTGTAATTAATAAAGAAGTTGAAACTATTAATGAAATGGAAGCACAATTTCACACAATCAGACGATTAATAGCGAGTAAAGTTGGATTTGCAGCATTTACAAGTTTACCGGGTTTCAGAGAGGCAATTGGTAGCAGAGTGGTAAAAGCTTTAAAAAGACAAGATTGTGGAGTTACACAAGCTGCAATAGATTGTATATGTGCCCTAATGCAACCGATGCATGATGATTGTGATTTAAGACAAGAACAATTGAATAAAAGTAGCCTTTTAAGTAATAACAAATTTTTGGAAAGTCTTTTGGATATGTGGCTTAGTCACGTTGTAAGTATATATTTTTTTTATTTATTATTGTTATTATTATTATTTACTGTTCTTATTGAATTTTAATTTCAGAATCATGGAACAGGTGCTCTTGTAGTATCTGCGATGCTTGATCTTTTGACATTTGCATTGTGTGTACCGTACAGTGAAACAACTGATGGCAAACATTTTGATAATTTATTGGAAATGGTCGCGTCAAGTGGTAGATCGTTGTTTAAATTATTTCAACATCCCTCTTTGGCTATTGTTAAAGGAGCAGGTTTAATTATGAGAGCAATAATTGAAGAAGGACCTCAAGAAATGGCAGCAAAAATGCAAGAATTAGCTCTCGCTGAAGGAGCTTTACCAAGACATCTTTTAAATAGTTTATTTACTGTTGGAAGTGACAGTCGATTATTGGCGCATAGACAACTTTGCAGACATTTAGTTGGTTTATGGATCACTGGACATCCAATAGCAATGGGTTTACTTAAGAGAATTATGGTATTTTTTAAATTTTAATTTAATTTCTAATTTTTTTTTCTAATTTAATAATAATTAAATGTTCCTTCTTCCAGCCGATTGGATTACTAAATTATCTTGACTCTGATGAAAAAGTACCTGATTCTTTTTTAGAGGAAGAAAGATTGAATAATCGTGATAATTTGAAAATTGCAATAGATCATGCAGCAAAAAATATGAAAAGTCCACAGTGGATAGCATTTGAACGACGTGTACGTGTATTTGAGAAACAAGTGGAAAATGTCTTTCAACATTGGGGTACACGTGTTGGTATTGAGAGAAGGGAAAAAATGAAGGAGAGGCCAATTGTTTTAAGAAAACGTAGGGAGAGAATAAAATCCGAAGCAAATTGGAAATTGTTTTACTATAAATTCAATCAAGATCATTCATTGCCAAATCTTATATGGAATCATAAAACACGAGAGGAATTGAGAACAGCATTAGAAAATGAAATACGAGCATTTTCGACTGATAAAGATTTATCTGGTGGTATGTTAATTGCATGGAATCATCGTGAATTTGAAGTACAATATCAATGTTTGTCAGATGAAGTGAAAATTGGAGATTATTATTTAAGATTATTGTTGGAAAAGGATAGTCCTGATAATCCGATTAGAAAATCGTGAGTATTTTTTTTGCGTCACATTTATTTATTCATTTATTGTAACAAAATGTATTTTTTAGGTATGAATTTTTCAATGATCTGTATCACAGATTTTTATTGACGAATAAAGTGGAAATGAAATGTCTTTGTTTGCAAGCAATGGCGATAGTATATGGCCGTTATTACGAGGACATTGGACCATTTTCCGATACAAAATATATAGTTGGAATGTTGGAACGTTGTTCGGATAAAATGGAACGTGATCGATTAGTAATGTTTATAAACAAACTTATTCTTCATAGAAGAAATGTGAAAGATATTTTGGATCAAAATGGTGTACGTGTTCTTATTGATTTATTAACTTTGGCTCATTTACATACAGCGAGAGCTGTCGTTCCTACACAAACTAATGTAATAGAGGCCGGTCCTGATCAAGAACGTCTAACGGAAAAAGAATGGTACTATAATGATGGTGATAAACGAAAAGGACCACTTCGTCTAAAGGATTTAAAGGATCTTTATGTTTCCGGAAAAATTACGTATAAAACAAAAGTTTGGGCCCAAGCTTTAGACAGTTGGCGAATTATTGCACAAGTACCACAATTGAAATGGACATTAGTTGCAAAAGGAACTCCTGTGATAAATGAAAGTGAACTAGCCACTTTAATTTTAAATATTTTGATAAAAATGTGTGAATATTTTCCAAGTCGAGATGTTGACAATGCAGTTATTAGGCCATTGCCTCATGTCAAACGATTATTGTCTGATCCACAATGTTTGCCACATTTAGTTCAACTTTTGTTGACATTTGATCCGGTTTTAGTTGAAAAAGTTGCTACATTATTGTGTGAAATTATAAAAGATAATCCTGAAATATCAAAAATTTACTTAACCGGTGTCTTTTATTTTATTCTCATGTATACTGGATCAAATGTTTTACCAATTGCGAGATTTTTACAATTGACACACACTAAACAAGCATTTAGAGGCGATGACGTAAGTAATTTCAACATTTTATTTCTCCTCTATAATGAAAGAAAAAAAAGTAAATAAATATTATTTCAGAATACACAATCTGATATTATGCAAAAGAGTATTCTTGGACAACTTTTGCCAGATGCAATGGTGAGCTATTTGGAAAATCATGGTGCTGAGAAATTTGCTAAAATATTTTTAGGCGATTTTGATACACCTGAAGCTATTTGGAATGCAGAAATGCGACGAATGCTTATTGAAAAAATTGCTGCACATATTGCTGATTTTTCACCAAGATTAAGAAGTCATACAATGGCGCGATATCAATATATTGCAATTCCTGCAATTAGATATCCACAATTAGAAAAAGAATTATTTTGTCAAATATTTTATTTACGACATCTTTGCGATACTGTTAAATTTCCCCAATGGCCAATTCCTGAACCTGTGAGTTTTTTATATTATTATAAAATGTTTGTCAAATGAATTTAAGAGTAATATAAATTTTTCTTCAGGTCATGTTATTAAAAGATGTTCTTGATGCATGGAAAAAAGAAGTTGAAAAGAAACCACCAATTATGACAGTTGATGAAGCATACAAAGTTCTTGGTTTGCAAAATGGTAAACAACATAATGAAGCTATAGTGAGAAAATCATATTATAAATTGGCGCAAATGTATCATCCAGACAAAAATCCACAGGGTCGAGTAAGTTTTTATTATTAAAAGAAATAAAAATAAAAAAAAATTAATTTTCAAGAAAACTTTTTTTTAACAATATTTTTCTTACAGGACAAGTTTGAAGCTGTCAATCAAGCTTATGAATTTCTATGCAGTCGAAGTTGTTGGACAACTGATGGTCCAAATCCCGATAATATTGTTCTTATTTTAAGAACACAAAGTATTCTATTTCATCGATATAAAGAGGAATTGGAACCATATAAATATGCTGGTTATGGACAGATCATTAAAACAATTCAAATGGAAACTGCTGACGATCAATTATTTTCGAAATCAACACCTTTATTAGCGGCGGCAAGTGAACTTGTCTATCACACTGTTCATTGTTCGAAATTAAATGCAGAAGAATTGAGAAGAGAAGGTGGTTTAGAGGTTCTTTTGGAAGCTTATACAAGATGTGTTTCGGTGTTGAATAAATCTAGTAAATCTACTGATGCTGCGGTCCAAGTTTGTATGCATATCACAAAATGTTTTTCCGTAGCTGGATCGTTCAGAGGATGTAGAGATAAAATCATCGAATTACCACAATTGGTTAAAGATCTTTGTAGAATATTACAATTTAAGGTAAGTTTTTATTTATAATTAATTTTTAAGTTTAGAAAAATAATAATTTGTGGTAATTTTTGCAGCACTTGAAAAAATTATGTTCAGTGGCGACAGATTGTATTTCTTCTTTGGCTACAGATAGTATACTTCAAATGCAATTATTACAATCGGGAGCATTGTATCATCTTCTTTTCTTTATGTTCAATTATGATTACACATTGGAAGAGGGTGGAGTGGAAAGAAATGAAAATGATAATTTACAAGAAATTTCAAATAATCTTGCAAAATTGGCTGTCAGAGCGTGTGCACGATTAGGTGGTTATATGAAAGGAGAAAATGAAACGCCTGTCAATCCAGTGACAGTAATGGCATTGGAAAAATTACTCACGCCTTATTTATCAAGACAATTGTCAAGCGATAAATCTGAAGAAATATTAAAGACATTAAATTCAAATTGTTATAATCCATACATGATTTGGGATAATAGTACAAGAGCTGAATTGATTGAATATTTGAAAAATAAACGGCAAAATAAATTCAGTGGTACGACAAATATTGAACATGATTTTAGTGATCTTGCGTACAGCGCTCATAAAAATGAATTGATCATTGGTGAAATATACGTTAAAATTTATAATGAACAACCTACATTTCCAATTGAGGTAAGTAATTAATTTTTTAGAAAATTAATTTCTATCAGAAACTGAGTGGATTGAAATTTTTAATTTAAATTAAAAATTAATATTTACAGAATCCAAAAGGTTTCGCCATTGATTTACTGGAGTTTTTATCAAAATATTCCGAATATTTAAGTTCTCTCGATGGCATTACTTTATCTAAAAATGATCATGAAAAATTGAGACACATTGTCATGTCACTTGAGGGTTTAAAGAATATTATTAAAAATAATCCCGATGTCGAAATACAATGCATTGGACATTTTAAATTATTATTTGAACTTTTAAGTTGTAATAATTTTAAGGCGATACAAAAAGGTGCCTTAGAAGTCATTAGTAACGTGACGAAAAATCAAGAATGTGTTAATGATATTGCAGCGAACGATGTAGTGGTACATTTACTTTTGTGTTTAAATACATTAAAAGATTCACAGCTTCAAATTCTTGAAGTATTATACGCTCTAATGAGTACGACAAAAATAGTGAAAGATGCTTTGAATAAAGGTATTTAATTTGAAATTTATTAAAGAAAACATCATTTTTCTTTTTCCAAAGAAAAAAAAAAAAGATATTATATAATGTGGTTTTTACAGGTGCTGTTATATACATTCTTGATTTATTTTGCAATTCAAATAATGCACAAATCCGTGAAGCTGCTGCAGAATTACTTGCTAAAATGTCTTCCGATAAATTAGCAGGTCCTAAAGTTAAGTTAGATTTGTCCAAGTTCCTGCCTCGATTATTTAGCGAGGCAATTCGCGATGCTCCGAAACAATGTGTCCATATGTTCGAATCAAAGCAGGAGAATCCAGAATTAATTTGGGACGATCATTCAAAAACGAAAGTGTCCAGATTGGTTGCCGAGTTGAAAGATGAGTAAGTTTAATTTATTTTTCTAAAATATAATTATTGATTTTTTTGTATTAAATGAAATTTTTTTTTATTTTAGGCATTACAGCATTCAAAAGCGAAATCCAAATGCAGTGTTAAAAATGGCTGATGCACAGAATAATGTAGATACAGCAACGAATGAACCTGTCGTAGGTGGCGTTTACCTAAGATTATTTATTGCCAGTCCTACGTGGGCTCTAAGAAAACCAAAAGAATTTTTAAGCGAGCTTATGGATACAACCTTAAATTTAATGTCCAGAGAAAAGACTGACGTATGTATATAAAATCGAATAGTATGTATCACGTTTAGTAAACAAATTATAATTTTATTTTTGTCATTTACAGTCAGATATGCTAGAATTAACAACTCAGGCTTTAGTTAATCTTTTGCAAGCGCAACCGAACTTAGCGGACCAAGTACCTTCATTAGGTCACATACCACGTTTATGTCGACAAATGGCAACAAGAAATAATCAACCCTCTGTTTATAAAGCTGCAATATTAATATTACATCAGTTAGCAATTAGTGAGGTGAATTTTTGAAAATTTTTATTCATTTTTTTTCTAATTATAATTCATTTGTTTACGTTTAAAACATTTTGTCTAATGAATTTATTTTCATTCATTAATTTTTGAAAGTAAAAGTTTTTTTTTCTCTACTTTTTCAGATTTGCATATCATCCATCTGCCAAACGGATTGCATAAGTCCATTGAAACATGCAATGCAATCTAGAAAGGATATGATTGCTGTTGCGTGCGAAACGTTAAATAGATTGTTTTCAACAAACGAGGATCGCCTTATTAAACAAGTAAAAAATAATTATACTAATTATTTATTAGTTATTTAATTAACTATTTATTACAATTAAATGTTTATTTAAAATTCTTACTAATTTAGGGAATAGTTAAAATTTTTAATAATTTAAAAAGTGTTTACTATTTCGAAGAAAAATAAAAATATTTTATTTCTATAGGCTTTAGAAGCAGAAATGGTACCTTATCTTTTAAATATATTGGAAGGAAAAACGGAAATCTTTGAGAATGTTGCCACAACAAGAGCGCAAATTGTTAAAGCTTTAAAAGCAATGACAAAAAGTTTTTTACTTGGTGAAAAAGTTAATGCAATTTTAGAAAAATCCTCAGTGTGGGCAGAATATAAAGATCAGAGACACGATTTATTTATATCAAGTGCTCCAACATTGTGTTATCTTCCAGGTAATTCATTAATAAATTTTCTTCCTGAACTGATAAATTTTTCTTAAATAAATACAGAGATTATTTTTAGCAAATATTTTATTATTAAAAAATAAATTAACGATTTATTAATATTTAGCTGGAACACCGATGTCTGCTGGTTATTTAACAGCAGGACCAAGTGCAACAATACCATCTGGTCCACCACCAGTAGAAAAAGAAGATAATTCATTAAATCGGAATGATTTCTGATATGTCTGATACATAAAGTGATAGAGATTCATCAACAACGTTCATTCTTTGAATATTGAAGATAAGTTGTTTTTACCGTGATCTTATAGCATTTTATAAATAATAATTTAATTAAAACTTTTATTGTAATGTGGACCGATATTGAAATTATTATCAAGAAATATTGTATGTGATTTTATATCGTAAACTTTTATGTTAACTATTTTCATATTTTAATCTATTTTTATGATAAAACATTTAATATATATTTTTGAACAATTTTTTTTTTGGTTTTTTTAAACTCGTGTTTTCTAATGACACAAATAGTTTATTTATATCACTATTTTATGTTTTTACTCAACATTCTGACTTTAATAATTTTTTTTAAACTAATGTGATGTAAAAATGAAGATTTAATTGTTAATGTTTTTTATTATAGAAAAATATATCAGTCCAGCATTACAAATAATTTTTCAAATTTGACTAACATTTGAAGTATTGTCCAAAAAATGTTTTTATTTACCATAGAATTCAAATATTTAAGCTCTTATAAAAAAAGGAACATTTACTAAATTTAGTTATAAATGAACTTTAGTTTTATAAAAATTAATTAATTTCTAATTAATTAAATTTATCAATAAAAAGATTTTTTCAAGGATTTTTTTGGACAGTATGATACAAGCTTGAAATTTGAAAAGTAATTTTTATTATAAACATATAAATTATTTTTCGTACAAATCTTGAAGGTTTGAACGTATGAATAATCGTTATTGTTTAATCCGTTAATGTTTAACGCGATATATAATGTTAGTATGAAGGATGTGATATCAAATTTTAAAGTCAGGGAGTCGAAATTTTTTTTTTGAATTAATATAAAAAAAAAAAAAATTTTATACTTAAGTATAGACAGTTCAGATCATGTAAATTATATTTAAATTCATATTTTCGAAATAAAATTCAATGTTAATTTTTATTTTAATAACTTTTGATTTACAGATATTAGATATTACACGCTTTATACAAACTGAATAACGTGATAGAAATGGAATTTATTAGAAACAAAATTTGTAGATTGCAGTGACATGAGTTTAAATTATATTAGTGATTTTATAATAACTTTTTACAAAGGAATAACTAATGAATATTACAATTTACTGAAAATGAAGAAGTTCTTTCAGTAATAAATGTACATGATCAAAAATATATATTAGTAATAGATTTTTTTTTTTTGAACTATTCTAGTGCAGTTAAACTCGTTGAAGTCATCTACAAATTGTGTTTAATCATAAACTACATAATGTGAAATATACTGTAAATGATTTTATTTTCCACTTTTTATAATGTACAGCTTTTTTATGTATAGGTATTTACTATACACAGCTGTGTAAAATGATCAGCATTTGTGAATAAATATTAGTTGTGTATATAATATATATATAAAAAAAAAACTTCATGTACAATAAGAAGATAAAAGAATACTTCTGAACTTGTTTCAAAATAAGATTATTTATCAATTTTATATAGTATCGTAAAAATAGTTCTCGATAGATTTGAGATTATTTCTATTAACATTTATATAATAATTAATATTACTATATTGAGATTAAGTAACAAAACAATTAACAGTAGATTTATCAGAAGAATTTGATAAGTGCCCCTCTATTCATGCTCAAGTTAGTAAACAAAAATTTTGTTCAAACTTAAATAAAAATTAAAAAAAAAATGCTTATAATAAAATATTATTATAGTTCATAAATATATATTAAATATTTTAGAATAAGTATTCCATAGTTATTATTGAAAAATCAAAACAATTTAAAAATCATTTTGAAAATTCAACATTTTACATTAATTAATTTAATCAATTTTTTTTTTAATCAATTTTACAAATTAATTGAAAAATTAATAAACCTATTTTCTATAAGTTTCATTCTTCTCAGAATTTTATTTTAAGAAATGAGTTATTTTTTTATATTTTTCTAGTTTTTCATTTATCAAAAAAGGGGATGAGCTTTCAATTTTCGGGCAATAGTGTTTCTTTGGATTTTTCATAATTCTATGAAGACAAATTTTTAAGTCTTATTAAACTTTATTTTGTACAGTATAATCCTCACTGGCCAATAATGTCCTCGTTTTGAAACAATCTTCAATGTATTTACTATTAATAATAGTAATGCGAGGAAATTGTTGAAAATATTGTTGAACAATATTTGGATTATTTTCTTCTAAAAAAATATGAGTGACATGTTCATCTATATTTACATGGACAGTTCCTGACAAGAATCTAAATGAATATTTCTGTTTGTCCTCAGGATTATGAAAATAACCAAAGAAACCTCTAAACAATGAAAAAGGCGATGGACCTGAAAACAATTCTTGTTCAATGTCTTTAAAATTTTCAGTCGAGAACTCCTTATCCCTTATCTGTAATAAAAAGATTAGCAAAGATTTAAAATTCTGTTCAATAAGAATTTTTTTTTTTTTTTAAAGGAATAAAATAAAACTGATTTTAAAACATACGTTTATCTTGTCCAAAGTTCGGGACAAACTAAATTCGTCAACGTCATCGGTATAACTATCCTGAAATTTATCAAAATCTTTTAAAAGTCTATTAGTTGTGGATGATCGAGAAGAAAGTAGTTCCCATGGATAAAAATCGTATTTTTGCGGCCAATTTTTTATATCCGTGATTCTTTTCAACCAATTTATTCCAACGAAATCTTGTTCTTTATCTGACATTGCATTTTTTACTTTAACCTGAAATTCAAAAATTTATAAAATAACTTAATGATTAAATTTTAATTTAAATGTGTAATTTTTAGAAATATTTTATAAATTTTAAATTCTACCTTTTCCGCATTGCCTACAATTACACAATACGTTTTTGTTCCTGGATTTTGAACAATATTGGCTGCATGAGATATTAAGAGTTTTTCTATGTCACTTTTTGATAATTCCTCATTTCCGTTCAAAACACAAATTTCTTTTCCTTTCAGACAACGAGAAATGCGTACTACATCCCTTGAACGAACGCCTAGAAATCGTTCATCAATCCTTTTCGATGAAAATGATTTTGATTTTGAAGATTTTGGAATTTTTTTAGGCTTAATATTTTCAGTATCTAAAATTGTTGCATGTCGTTTTGTTAATTTTTGTACAATACCTGTGTCCTGTAAAAGAATATTTAAATTCTTAGAAATTGTTGCAGAATGATTTTTTAATAATTACTTTTTATTTTTTATGATCAAATATTGAATATTTTACCTTAACAAAAGATAAAAATTCTGTAGAAGAACATGCATCATGCCATGGCTTATCATGTCTAACAGATTCGACTCGCGGAAATCTCAAAGTATATCCTATTGGATAAAAACTCGATCGAATAATTTCTGAAGCGCGAACTTGTAAAATTACTGAGTCTTCTGGTTTTATCCACAAATCTGGGAGATTATTCTGAAAAAGAAAAATATTTTTAACTCTTTAAATACCAGATATAAATAAATTAAAATATTTTAATTTTTTAATAAATTCATTAATTGGAATACTTTATACATATAGTAATTTGAAAGTTGACTTTGCATCTAAATTGTGGTTTATTAATTAAATTTAATTTGTCAATTGCAACGTACTTTTGGCCCAACAATAGAATCCGGACAATTTGTCTGACCCTTCAATTGAAATTTTCGCTGTAACTCTTTCAATTGCTCATTACTTAAACCCGAACTGACCGAAACAACTGATTGAAATTTTGTAGATTGATTGTGAGTAAATTGAACTCCCATTAAAAAACTTCTCAATTTTCCTGCATCTCTTCCATTACCATAGTAACCACCCAAAATAATTAAATCTGTGTCTTGTATCAAGTCGTCTGAAAACTATTTTTAAATTATATTTGAGTAAATATAATTTTTTTTTATTTAAAATTGAAATACCTCTGCTTTAATTTTATAGCAACCGCTTCCATCTCGACAATTTGGTTTATATAATGAATTATATTTTTTTAATACAATTCCTTCGTCTTTTCTATCTAGACTTTCATTGAAGAAATCCACAACTTGTTCACTTAAAAAAAATGTTTAATTATTCATTAATTTTTTTTTCTACTAAATAATAATCAGTTTTTATTATTAAAATTTTATTTATATTATTAAAAAATTACCTTTTACACACCACTATAGACTTTGCTTTGATCATGATTCCTTCTTCATCTTGGAATAAATTTTCTAATTTCTCTAATCTCCTATTATAAGGAATATTGAGAAGTAATTCGTCATTGTACATAATTAAATCATATGCTACAAAACAAGGTTGCAAAGCACTATTGGTAGTTAATTTTTTCACATCAAATTGCATGCCCTTTGAGCCAAATACTTTTTTCGTTTTATGCCATCCCATTATTTCTCCATCCAATATTAACGACTTACAGTCGTTTCTAATAAGTCGACTAATATTTTTTGTTAAAAATCCATCTGTATGAAAGAAAGGAAATTGGAATTATCTATGAAAAAATTATCGATAATTAAATCACGTACTAATAGAAAAAAATGTATATTTTTACCAGAATTAATGCTCTCTCCATATAATGTATTTTTTGTTATATCATAACTATTTCTTGTAAAATATTTAAATCTTCCATCTTTCATGTGAATTTGAGATCGTTCACCATCGTATTTTACTTGTAAAACGTATTTCATTGATTGATCTTGAAATAATTTTCCAACTTCTTCAATTCTACAGCGTTCTAAAAGCATTGGCTTAATGTGATAGAAGATTTTTATTCCAGGTTTTTCGCTATTAACATTTTGTAATTTATTACAAATCTCTCGAAGATTGGATGTCAAATTAAATAATTCCTCCGCTTCTGGATGAATAGCTTCACCATAAAATAAAAATGATAATAATTATTTTCAATAAGTAAATATAAAAAAAAATTATATAAAAATTAAATATTATTAAACTTTTTCTAATATATTTAAAATAATTAATTTTTAATAATTAATTACATACCTTTCAATATATTATTTTGACCAATACCCAATCTCAAGTCTTTTAATATAATTCTTGTCAACCATTTAAATTCAACTGCACTCAGTTTTTTGGCTATTGTTAAAAATGTTGAATCTTTTCTTTCATTAGATGAATTCTTAGAAGAAATATCATCAAGAAATGTGTTAATTTCTTCTATTTTAAGTGAACTTTTGTCACTTTGAAGCTGACTTCGAATGAGATAATATATGCGGTCAGCAAAATCTTCACCACTTTGATCAGTCCTTAAATAAATAACAAAAAATAAAATATTTAAAATAAAATCCTTCTAAAAATAATTATTTAATCAATTTGTTCCCAATCGAAAAGTGAATATCAACCTCGTTACGAATTTGATATTTTATACCGAATTAACTTGTTCCCATTTCGAAATTGAATTTCAATTAATTAAATCTGTGTTTCGGGTTAGTAACGAATTAATTACGAATGTCATTGATTTAGATAAATCTCAGTTTTAGCATTCGATTTTATTATCTAATAATATCTGAATTTGAATTTCTTAAAAAAAACAAAATTGTAAAATGATTTTACCTGCTGTTTGCCTGACTCCGTGATGTTAAATCATTTTTGCCTAAACAAAAAATACGAGTATATAATACTCTTAAAGATTTTTGTTTCAGACCATGTGGACCACGTTCTCTCTCCAATTTAGGCAATAATAGTCTTAACAATGAATACAAAGAATCATTCTACAAAAAAAAAAATATATTAATTAATAACTTACGAATTTTTTTTCGATTAATTTCTACAATAAAAAAAAATGTAAAAATAACAAAACATTTTCGAAATTTTGTATTTTACTCACCAAATTTCGATAATTTTCCAGCAATTTCTGTAATTCTTGAATTTTTTTATTTTTTTCCTTCAATTTGAAAATATTTTCAAAATATTCACAAAGAGTACCGAATGTAAATGTAGACATTTTTCTGAAACAAATAAAATTAATAAATTAAATTATTAATTTTGAAAAATTAAACATTCTAAGTAATTAGGGGTCTAAAATGAAATTACTAATACATAATTTTTAAAGAAATATAAATTTTATTTTAAATTAACAGTTTTTAAATTACAATATGTTTATCAAGATACATTCTGGCTAAATGAGGATTTTCTGAATCTAAGTAAATGAGATGTAAATTAAAAGCAGCTTCCTTTTGCAAATCTAAGAGATGAGGCGCTTGAGCGACTATTTTCGATGGTGGTAAATCAAGTACTCGTTTGTAATAATGAGTAGCGTCTGGTAATAATCCAAGTTGATGAAATGCTCTTGCTATATTAAAATTAATTTCCTGTCCACTCATTTCTCCTCGCATTTTTGCATATTTCTTAAGAAACGCCAAAACTGAAAATTTAATCATTAATCTTACAAATCTTATTCTCATAAATAAATAAATAATTTACCTTGTGCCACCAATTGATTCTTTTTGGCAAAAAATTTCTGACAAGCCATTTGCAATAGAGTAACGGCAACCAGAAGAGCAAGAAGCGCATTTGGTTCAATTTTAAATAATGAAATATAATCATTAAGCGCATATTTATATGTTCCAGAAACCAAACAATTATTCGCATGTAAAATATGAAGATATGAAAGAACATCTTCCCTGCCAAGTAATCGCATTATAAATCTATTGTGTCGCGAATCTTCAGCTTTTTGTATTATAATATTTAATAAATTCCAAAAATTAGCTTTTTGATGAACTCTCACAAGTTCTCGGACAATATTATAGCCATGATATGAATCGCCATTATGTATACAAGCAACTAAACACAAAAACATAATGTGTGAATTTTTCTTTTCAAATAATTTTGATGTCAATGCAGTAAAACCAATTCTCTGACAAAGGCCAAATTTTTTCAATTTATGAGCGAGTTTACACATTTGTAACAATAAAGCGAATTCATTTTTAAATGATGGCTCAGTACTTGGAACAAATGTTGGTGCATTTTCATCTTCAATTGTTTCACCACGTGACAATCGATGAAGTTGTAAAGCTTCAAGTCGTTGACGAATTGTTGTCGCTTTACTTAATCCCGTCATTTCTGATTTTGATCTTAAAGTCATACAATGTCTTGAAAATAAAAGTAATCCCGATTTGAAATATTCGTTAAATTTACCAACTTTGAATAAAAGTATAGTTCTCTCGTATAAAACAGCTGGATCTAAATCATCAGTTTCTGGATTTTGTTTTAAAATCTCAATTGCCTTATTAAATTGTCCTCGTTGTTTGTAAAGTTTTGTCAATTCTAATCGAGCTCCTAAATGTTTTGGTGACAATTTTCTCACCATTTCGTATGATTTTGCAGCTTTTTTAATATCATTACATCCAAGCCAACATTCAGCGTGTCGTAGCCAAACAGCAGCTAAACTGAAATTTTTACTATTCACCAGAGGTTCTAAAAGAACTAAAGCGCGTTTAAATTGTTTTTTACCCATCAATGATTCGGCAATATCAAGAAAAAGATCACCGGAAATTTCGGGATTCTCCTTTTCACAAACCTTTGGTAATAGTTTATCGGCAAATTCAATTTCATTGAGTTCAATTAAAGTGATTAGAAATTTTACTTTAAGATCAACAGCCACATCATCGGGAATACCGCAATCTTCAATTTTTCTTGTCGCTGGAATTGCATCCGATTTACCCTCCATTGTATCCATTAATTCATTGACATTATATTTCACCCAGATATGTGTATATTTTGTAAGAATATCCAAACATCGATTAAAATTTTTCATTACAATTAACAATTCAGTGACAACATTTACTTCCTCAAGTGTCACAAGATCTGAACATTTGTTAAATATTTGCTCCATTGCATCCAATGCATGCTCATAATTTTTCTCTTGCATATAACGTTTTGCCAACATTTTTGCAAACATAATTATACTCTCACCATCTTCTGGTCCCAATTGATGAATTAATTTTGTGTAATTTTTCAAAAATGCTCTCTTATCGCCCTGTTGCTCTTGTAATTTTGCTCGCGATTCATATAAACTCACGTCTCTTGGACTCGCTTGAATTGCTTTTGAGTAACATGTTATTGCTTGTTTAATATTATTTGTTTCTATTGATAAATTTGCTAATCTTATCCATTGATCGGCATCCTTTGGACTAAGATGAGCTGCAATCAGGGCAAATTGTAATGATTTTTCAGGTTGATCATTTTCATAAATCATTGTTAAAGTTTGAAAAGGCTCAGGAGCGCATGGAACTTGTCTATAAAAAAAATTATTTTAATTAAATTTAAAACTAATTCGATTCACAATTTTATTTACCTGATTATTTCCATACACATTTGTGCAGCTAATTCAGGTTCTCCTCTAGCAAATCTTAAATTGGCTTCGCCCATCAAACCAAGTAATGCAGCAGGTAATTTTCTTCGTGTTTTTGTTTTTCGTTCTCTCTTTTTTCGATCCGTATATTCATCGCCAACAATTCTAAAATAATACTTGAATGTTAAAAAATCTTTTAATTAAAAAAAAAAAAACCAACTTTTTAATAATTAAATTTTTGTAGAAATGAAAAATTAACCTATTATTATCCATTCTCAGCGAATATTCAGTAAAGGTGAGTTCTCCATTTAAAAATTGTTGCGTAAGTAAATCTTCTCTGCTGGTTTCAGTTTCCTGTTCATCAATTGCATCTGCATTTCCAATATCAATTGCATCTTCATTTAATGACGAAGATGATTCAATATTTGTTTCTTTATTTACATTTTTCGAAATAGTTTGCAATTTAACAGCTTTAGCTTCAACAAATTCACCAAGATCCATTTCCATGTCATTTATTGTAGATTCATCAAGTTCTTCTATTATCACTGGTGCTATTGATGAATTATCAATAGTTTCTACATTAGCTGAGTTCTTCATTTCGTCATCGACTTCCATTCTGTTGTCACTGGATTCCATATTTATATCTAGAAATTATTTTTTTTTTCTTAAAAATAAAATCCTTAAGAAACATTGCGTGTTTATTATGCTAATAAAAATTTAAACAGATTTCTGTGACTCTTTTTCTTCAAATTATTTTATTTTATAATATCTCGAACAAAATCTAAAATCTAAGTCAAAAAATTTTTAATACTAAAACTTAATTAATAATACAATAATTATATTAATTAATTATTAATTATAATTCATAAAATATACTAAATAGTCCCAAGAAATTTTGACATATTTTTTTAAATAAACTTACCGCGTAATTAAATACTATTGACACCACAGTTTATAACTTCACTATTTTTACATATATCTATAAAATTAACTGAAAATTGTTAAAACTATCAAAAATTTAATAGTTCATTTGTTAATAAATTCTTGAAAACTTATTTTAATAACAAAAACTTGTTTGCGGTGAAAATTACCGCTAAAGGGATTATAACCTCAATTAGAAGGATTAAAATTTTACATTTTAATTAAAAATAAGTTGACAATAATTTTTACATGTTTTTTTTTTCTCTTATCTAGTAAAAATTTATTTTTTTTTACAATGAGGAATAAAGTAATAACGTAATAACCGCGTTAAGTTATTTAGGTTATGGTTATAACAATATTGAAGTAACAAAAAGAAATTTATTTAAATTCTTCATTTAAAGCCTTATTCAAAATTATCCTTATTTTTAATTAAAAATATCGTATATAAGTATCGTAATATTTAACTAATAAATAAAAAAATCATACCTTGTTTTGGAACCACTAGAACTGTCAAAAATTGTTTTTACACGATCTGTCAATAAACATGAAATCTACTATTACCTACAGCTGTTAACATGGACAATTAACATCCGTAAATGAGCGCCTCTCGCGGCAGAAAATGGTACTCACTTGTAAAATCTAACGGACCAATGGCGGCACAAGGAAGTGGTATTTGTTGACTGACTACAGACTAGGACTGTAAACTGATAAAATAAACTAAAACTGAGAAGTTGGTCTGACAAGCGATGGTGGCGGCTAGTGTTTGTGTTTCATGTCGTAATCCTGAGTGATAATGTATCTTCTAATTTTTGTTTATCGTCCAAATATAAAGGACGCTCAACTTTAAAACAATTGACGGTGGAATTTTTTGAAAGTGTCTTTTTCATTTTGAAAGAAGTGAATCTCGCGAAAAGAGACAATGGCGTAGGTAGTAGTCGATGCTTTGTATCCTGCTTTGTTAAAATAATTACAGGCAGTGAACCGATTAGAACGCGAAAAAAAGGTAGTGAAAGTGTTAAAATCAGTGTTTATTTTTCAATAAGTGATAAGTGATTCCTTTAGCGATCCAATTTCAATTATTTCTCCTGTTATTTTTTTTTTATTTCGGTGTGTGTGTATACAGTGTTTGTGCTTTTGCTGTGGTGCTCGACGAATCTATCAGGAAGTCTAGAGGAATTATTATTACAATGTTCAGTGATATGTGTGGATACGTCCTCTTCTTACTGTTACTGGTTCCTTACATCGAATGTGGTAAGTTTCATTTATTTTTTACATGTAAAAACTATAAATTAGTAAATGTAATTTAGTCAGAAATGGAACACATTTATCATTTAAAAACACAAACTGGTGTGTGATATCATGTGTGCATTTTATGAATCACCCCCTATTTAACAAGTCACACATGCAGTTATCCTTTCTTTGACCCATTGTATACGATTACAAATATTTTTGATCCACTTTAAATGCTGAATTGAAAATGTGCACTTAATTCTACTCCTTGCTATAAACAATGGATCTTGAATAAAATATATAACCTTGTCGCGTCTACCGTTAGGACGTTGACATCTCGAACCCCGACGGGTTGTCTTTTTTATCCCTCAGTAGATTTATTTAACGCTTCATTGGATAAAAAAAGTTCTCCTTTAACAGCGGAGGAAAAAAAAAGGGTCTTCTCGTTTAGAAGAAATTGTTTTTCTTTTCATTACACTTGGGAAAATATTTTTAAATCATTTTGATAAAAGTATTTATTTATATTTGGATTATTCAACTAAATTGAATTTTTTTAATTTAATTTTTAACATTTAAATTTTTTACTGCTCTTGTAGGAAATATTTTTAATGTATTTACATTGAATTTACATTCTCATCACGAAGGTATTAAATTGTTTTTTAAAAGATGTTTACATATTTTATATTCAATTTACTTTTATTGTACATGACATAACTTTTTTTTTTTTCTTTAAAAAAGATTTATAAAATGTAAACAAATTTTATATTGTTAGTACACAGACACATTTTAGAGAATATTATGTCAGTTTGGTTTTATTTCTCATCCATCATAAAACTGTTAAATTCAGAATTCCTTTTGTACCTACATATATGTGCCATGATTCACTTCCAAGTCTCCTTGGAGACACCTCATACAATAATTCTAGAAACGTTTCAAAGATATATTTACGATCATTTTGAAATATCAGGAACATCATAGCTGCACAGCATCCTTGAAAGCATCTTAACAATAGGTACCCCAATCTCAAACTTCAAATATAACTGAACTGCGATATCAACTATTCTTAAACAGAAGTTAAACTTGAACACTTTATATTAGGAAAATTTAATGAAATTAAATTTTATTGTCTTAACGTTTATTATTAACGATAAATTAAAAAATGGATCAAATTAATTTTGTAATTTTATTTTCTCATGAGATGGATTTTTATTATTATTCTTATTATTATAATATTATTATTAATATTATATTATTATTATTAATATTATTAGAATATTATTACACTGAGAAAAAAATTTATTTGATTCAAATAATAATCGGTTACTTGAATATTATCAAATAAATATTTACTTGAACCAAAATAATTTTTTATTTGAATTAAATAAATTGTATTTGGACGAATAATTTCTGTATTTAAAACAAATACTATTATTAATTGGCTCAAATAAAAATAATTTGTTTAAAGTAAAAAAATATTTAATTTGATAATAATTAAGTAATCGAATATTTGAATTAAATAAATTTTTTTTCAATGTATTAATATTATTATTCCTAAATAACTTTTTTATTTTCTTTATTAAAATTTGCTTTTCTAGATATATTTTAATATATTTTTCTTTTTGAAAAATGAATTCTTGAAGAAAAAAAATTAATTTTGAAATTTTATTTTCTCATGAGATGGATTTTTATTAGTATTCTTATTATTATAATATTATTATTAATATTATATTAAATTATTATTATTAATATTATTAGAATATTATTACACGGAGAAAAAAATTTATTTGATTCAAATAATCGGTTACTTGAATATTATCAAATAAATATTTACTTGAACCAAAATAATTTTTTATTTGAATTAAATAAATTGTATTTGGACCAATAATTTCTGTATTTGAAACAAATAATATTTAATTGGCTCAAATAAAAATTATTAGTTTAAAGTAAAAATATTTAATTTGATAATAATTAAGTAATCGAATATTTGAATCAAATAAATTTTTTTTCAATGTATTAATATTATTATTCCTAAATAATTTTTTTATTTTCTTTATTAAAATTTGCTTCTCTAGATATATTTTAATATATTTTTCTTTTTGAAAAATGAATTCTTGAAAAAAAAACATTCGTTGGAGTTTTTTTTTTTTTTTTTTTTTTTTTAATTATAATTCTTTCATTAGCACTGCGTAAAGGAATTTTCTTTGAAAATTTTCATATTTATAAAATGAATAGTATACGGTTTCGTTGAATTTGTACTCATATATCTGTTTATCTCATTTGTTACGATGAAAATCCACTCGCATAGTGTCGACAAAATGCGTATATCTGATGCGGTGTAGTACAAGAGAACGCGATTAAAGCGCGTTGGATGCAGATCTGTCCCCGTGTAACGCCAACGAAGAGATTCGCTCGTATAGACCGCGTGCCAAATAGATAAGCGGATAAAGAGCTCAATAGATAGAAAGACTTTAATGTCGTTGTAGAACTGAATCGATGCTCCATCTATTTTTTGATCAAATTTCAAGTCAAAAATAGAACTTTTTTAAAAAAACAACTCACCAACTCATTTCACATAATTATTTTCTTCAATTTTTTATTTTTAGTCAGTTTATTTTTCCTTTTATTTTTTCATTTCTACCTCGAATATTATATTCGGTGTGTATTGATATATCAATATAGTTTGAATTCCAGCAATATATAATTTCATCAATAATCATTAGTCGCTTCCGTTCGATGAGAAAAAAATAGAAGTTATCGAATCACAATTACCTTTGCATGCTTCGAATCCTCCACACCAGGGATGCTTTTATTTGATTTTATTCTGGGGTTTCAAAATGCTGCGACTGTTGGAACAGATTGGTACGTGGCGTGAATTCAATGTCGTTGGGTATAGGACAGTTTTATAAATCGAAAATCTCAGTTTAAATAATAGGAATTTTTTTTTTTTTTTGAAAAATGTTAACAAATTTTAGATTTTTGTCTTTTAAAAAAAGAGACTTTTTGTTGTGTGTTGAAATTAAATTCAATTTTTTTTTATTCTTATTAAAAAAGCAAATCAGCATGTGCAATTTCCGTGGAACAATTCTAATATGCAAGGTTGATATAACTCTGTTTTTGTTTAACTCAATCCCGTATCCAACGCATCTCTCGAATCCTATGCAAATTACAAATTCGTGGTAGAATCCATTATTACGAGCTCACTTTGCAAACATGAAAATAAATAATAAATAATGATTTAACAGCGAGACTTTGAGTTAAATTGAATGATTTAGTTCTTGAGTTAACATATGTCGAAAGCATTAATTAAAATTTTATTCGATAAATAAAAAAAAAAAAAAAGAATCTTCTATAGAATTTTTTTAGTTTAGAAACTTTTTTAATGAATTTGGTGGTAGCAGATTGGCAAACATGTTTTCTTTCATTCAAACTCTTTTTCAAAAAAAAAAAAAAAAAAAAACTGCTTTTGAAATCTAATAGAAACTTTATAACATTCCGATGAATTTATGTCTTTAGTTTTTTGGAAATTAATAGTTTGAAATCCATTTTAAATGTTAATTACATTTCGTTTTCAATTGATTAATGAACCTTTCCTTTACCTGAAAATTAAAGGCATTTGAGAAAATCAGAAATTAGTTTCCCCCTTATATATAACTATCAAAGTTTCAAGTCTGATAATCCCATAAGGGAGGGGTCTTTTAGCCTTAGCCTTAGGCTGTATTTATATTCGTGGTATCTATGCACTTGAACAATATAACGAGGGTGGTGAGCACTCTTGCGAATAATATCTAACCTTTATAAATGAAAGGTCAATGATCGTAAATTTCAACTACAAGAAACTCATACAATCAAGTCTCTTTTGTGTTTCTTAACTTTTATAATGTTCAGAGAGCAAAGGGTTAAATTTTTCAATCTCCGATAAGAGATTTATATTCTCCTATTTGATGATGCTGAAGTCGCGCAACGTTTTCAAAAACGAAAAATTAAAATAGAATTATTTTTTCATGTCAATTTATCTCTAATTTTGATTTTGCACAACTTTTACTCTAAAAAAATTGACTATTTGTAGTAATTTTTACTATTTCTGAAGTAACTTTAACTATTTTTTGGAGTAAAAATTGCCAGAGATGCGCAGAAACTTTGGACAATTCCCGTTTTACTCTGAAAGTATAGTAAAAATTACTTTTTCCGCGTACGTTTATACTTTTTATATTGAAAAATTATCAAGGCCCCTATAGGTTTTATAGTCTGACGCACTTTTCCATGAACTTCATTTGAGGTTATAACATTAATTACGAAAGAAAATTGATGCGTATGATCTTTTGTGTATACACAAAGAAAGGGGAACGATACCCTTTTATCTTACACCGTCCCTCTCATAGGAGGAGACAACATGATGCAATAATATTATGCCTTTGTAAGCATTATTATATTTATAATACCGGAACATTTAATTTAAATTCTCCCAAGTAACTCAGATTTTATTTAACTGACAAACGAAAAATTTTATGAAATTAAATTTTACTTGCAATAATGTATTTTTTTTATAATTCTTTTTCGGGAAAATATAAATTCTACATTTTCTTCTTCAAATGAAAATTATTTAAAAATAAATATAATACAATTATTTAAAATTAAAATTTTAATTAATAATTTTTATCGGACAATTATTTGCTTCAAATTTGTTAAAGCAATCGTTGGATATTTTAAGGATATATAATATTTTATGGTTTTTGCGCAATAAAAATTGTGGAGGAAAACAAAAGAAGTTTAAAGATCGAAAGATCTCGATTCTAATGGCTCTATAAAAGCGCTAACATATATATATATAGGAAAGTCAGAAGAGCGAGAGCAAGTTATGACACCTTAGAAACTCACGTCACGTGCACAAACTGCAAAATTGTCGGAACGAAGCGAAACTAGCTCGAATATAGAGAACCAATTTATGCTAAGTGCAAGCTGTGAATTGCAACCAGGATGACATCACCTATATACACAATTGTATTGATTGCCTTGATATTCGA